TTTCAGAAGATGGACTAAGACCTTTGGTGCTGGCTTGTGGCTGGACCAAAGCAACCTGTCACCCACAAACACTGGAGATGCCCTGGAAAAAGCCACAGGGGTAAAGGGCTGTAGCAACAGCTCAGCTGAGCATGGAAAGAGAGATTGCAACAGTCTGGGAATGGGGATCTTGTCCTTTCAATCTGACATATCTGAGAGGCAAAATCTTTTACTGCCTATTCTCCATCTTTACATATAAGCATGGCCTTTGTTTGAATGACCCAGGAATATCCAAAAAAAGTGTGCAACCAATAAAATTATTCTCAGTAAGTCCTGAAGCTAAAAAAAAAAAGAAAAAGAAAGATAGTTGTTCTTGGATTGCTAGCCACGTGGTCCTCCAGAACCTTTCTGCAACTTAGCTTTTTAGCATCATGATTAAAAAATCATGTAACCTCTTCAATTAGATGGTTCCTGTGTCATTTGCTTCTTTTGTTGTGTTCTTTTTCATGCACATTACTGCCCGACAAATGCAGCAGAACTTCGCTAATTCAGATTAACAACTGGGAGATCTACTGCAAATTACTCTATTTTGTGGGCAAGTAACTGAACAAGTAAAATAAAAACCAAAGTACATTTTGTGATACATAGTTCTTGTTCACTTGTTTTGACAACTCTTGTGTAATTTTATATTACTTCATAATGCACTATTGTCTGCTTTGCAGAAGTAATGGTGTTGTATGATCTTATAATGAATCATAAGAATAAATATGTGCTTTGTTTGAAAAACTCAGTCTTTAATGTGCTTCTTAACTAAGTTATTCTGCTATTCAAACCTTTGCATGGAAATACAAAGGCCTCTTGTGCCTGAATTTCACACCCTGCATGAGGGAGAAGTTCTGTTGTAGTGCAAATAAATGTTATAGCTACAATCCCTCTTTTACTGCACCATTTCCTAGGTGAGTTTAATTTTACAGAACCTCTCAATGGTATAATAACACACGCACCAGCTATTGGAATGTTTAGTTTTCATCTGGGATGGATTTGAGTACTTGAATGGTAGTCTCATGGCTGAAGATACTTTTAATATTTGAAAATTTAGAGCTGATGTGTTTTTATGCTGGAATCACTGATATTATGGAAATTATGCAAATTTCAGATACCATGATAATGGCAATAAATATGGTAACGATAGGTTCTAAAAAAAAACTTCTCTAGAAGAAAATTTCAAAGGAAGAGAAAGAAATAATTTATTCCCTAAAACCAACAGAGTGGTTAGAGGGGTTCATTATATTTACATATAATTTATAACTAACATACCTAAATTTTACCAGTCATCAAGTTTGAATCTAATTAAAAGATAGTTTTAGTTAAAGGTACATGTTTATGCATTTCATGATTCATTACCTGAAGTGCTATGCATGGATATCTTTACAAAAATAAGAAAATTGCATTGTTGGGTAAAGTAGCAACTGAGGATTTGGGTTCTGTTCTTTTCCATAAGGTAAAAAAACCAATTTCTTTAAAAAGTTATTGTCTTCTCAAACACACCACTCTCCATATCATTGAAACATTTTGTAGTGACAAATATCAGATCTATAACATTTACCATAAAATGGATGAAAATATTATTTACTTTTCTTTGGGTTGATTGTGTTTAGTTTTTTTTGATTGTAGCAGAAAGAATAATGATGACATCCCAATCAACCTGACTTAACAAATGTAGGTTACAATGACAAGACAACCTGCTTTAGTCAGCTCATACCAAGCCCACATGAAGGGAGGTAAGTGTTTCTTAATCATTTGTCAGAGGCTGTGGGCCTTATCAGCTAATTTTAGATAGAAGAAACTGAAAAAGAAACATCTGGGTAAAACCTAATTCAAAATTTGTTTTTTGCCGTGCTCATTTGGCAATAAATTATTTAAGTAAAATATACTTCTTGTGAAAGGATACTCAATTAAATGTTGAAATATTTGTGCTCTACTTTAGTGCAGTTTCTGGGGAACAGCTGTTTGAACAAGAGGAACAAATTTTATTTGGTAGTTTGGGAAGAGTTGAGTAGGATGCCAAGACAGGATCTAGTGAGACAATGTTTATAAAGATAGGGGTTTCCTAATAAGTTGAAACCTTTCTCTAAGGCAGAAAAAGAATCTTTTATCAGAAATAAATTTTCTGGAGATCATCTTTAGAAATTTATAAAAGTCTATTAATGAATTAGGTTCAAGAGATCTTTTTCAGGGAGCAATTCTGCATATCACAGTTCAGTATGGCTGAAGTTCTAGAACACTTACTATCTTCCAGGATTTCCTTTAGTGAGCCTTCTATGATGCACAAATAGTTTGGAGGACAAAATCTTACTAAGCAGATGCTGGTTATATAGCAAAACGTAGTCCTTGCAGTGGAGGAAGAAGCAACACAGATAGTTACAGCTCCCTATTTGCAGAGAAGAAAGCAATTCCCGAGTTCTGGCAGCAGCACATCAGTTGTGGGAATTGCATGGCCAGGGCCAGAACACCGCACATCACCTCATGCTCCTGGCTCTGCAGCCTCTGCACTCAGCTGTCTCCTTTCATTAACTGGTTCTCTGCCTTGCAGAGCAGCACCAGGTGGGGTGATTTGTATGGCAGGAGCAATATTCTTGGCAGACTTATGACCTTTATCCAGAGGAACCAATGGACAATGAGTTGAGCTGAGTCTTTTTATTGACTGAATTTCCATTACCTTCACAGGCTTTCTTTCCTGGCTTATCCTTTTATCTTATTATGGACAGAACTTACATTTACTGGACAATAGCTTCCACATTGGTCCCCTTTAATTTCCCAGAAAATATCACTAGTACACTTTAAAAAATTACTCAAGACCTGTTCTTTACCTCTCTTTACAACAAACTATTTGTTCATTCAGCAAATGCACCGTGTTAACACTTTATACTATAGCATTTACACCCACACACCTAAAGGGGCTGTATTTCAAATATTCCATGTGTTCCCTACAAAGCTATAGTAGGCTTACAAAGTTTTAGATATTTTCTAGTTGCTTATACAGGATTTGTTAAAATTGCCTTTAACAACAGTTAAGGAACTAAGTTATGGAATTACCATTAATTTTATTTTCACATTGTCTGTGAAAAACATCACAGTTTTCCATTATAAATGAAAGGTAACGATGTGAGTAATGGTATTCGAGTCACATCATCTCCAGTTTTTATATCATGATGTAAACTGACCTCATAATTTTGTCATCTTCTGTATTTACAGCCCAATAATGCTTTTCTGGCAGCTCACAAGGGTTACTGAATTTATGAGGCACTTGCAAGTCAGGTATTTTATGAATACCACATGCATTTCTCGAAAATTATTTCTAGTAATGTAATGTAAGTCTACTGTGTGTACTGGATTAAAATAGCATAAGAACTAAGTAATAAATTATACTATTTTGTTTTAAATTTTATTATATGGAAATACAAGTTTTCATTGTTGATCATATTAACTTGATATGATCAAACACTTTCTTTTTACAGATAATGGTATTTATTTGTTTTTTCAGTATATAAAATGTACCAAGTACCAAATTGCTTTAGCACATGCATAAAAATAACTTAATAAAACCTGACTTAACCAATATATGGGCAAAAAGAAGACAAACAATGTAGCTTGCACTAAAATATAGGCAATTATAATGACATCAGAACTATAAAACCATTTTGGAATCAAGAGTCCAAAGTTCTGTCTCAAGGTATCTCCTGTTTTACTCTGTGACTTAAGTTAATTATCTCTGTCCACTTGATCCATTCAACAACTTGTAAGGAGATGGTTCTTTAGACAACCATCACCCAAGGCAGAGAGGTCTTCTAGACAAACTACCTTGATTTACATGTGAAAGGGAACAGGAATCCAGGATTAGTCTTTAACTCCAGTAATATATTGGAAATATATGGCTGTGTCTTGTAATAACTGATGCATCTGGGTGAACTGGCACAGAAAGTTTCAGACTGTTCGCTTCATAAAATCTAATCAGAAGATTTTAAGTCAATAAAAATATGGATAGCAAGTGAGACAAGTGGCTGAAAACATCTGTGTGAAGAGAAACACATACTGCACAACTGTCTGACAGTGAGCCCTCATAAAAAATTTCAGACTGTCGGTAAAATAGGAAGAAATCATAACTGAAATGTCCTTTCCTCCTATCCTTGCCCTGCAACACACATACATCATCCAGTTAAAACTTGGACAAGCAAAATCCACATTAATGACACCAAGTGAAAGTGAAATAGGACTGCTTTTAAAAATTAGTACACCTCTTGTTCAGGCAGTTAAAAAATTGACAAAGTGATGTTAAGGTTTCACAGTTACAAAGCAGGTCTGAAACTGGATAATTAATCTTAATTGTCTCAATAGTCTCAATGTGATTAATTTTCCTTAGCCACCTTCTCCCCTTGTCATCTCATCTTACATTAAAGACACAGGGTTTTTGTTGCTGATTCCAAACAAAACAGATCAAGCTAAAAACCTGACAGATAAAAGATTCTGTAGACAGGATCCCTTTGCTCTATCCCAGAGTGTTGTAAGCCCCTCTCCTAACTGGGCTATCTATTGAAAAAAAACCCCTTTCTTAAAAAGTAGCATTAAAATCTTTTGGAACAAATTGATTCCCTGACACCTACAGTCGCATACAGAATTCTAGTTCTAAGCCTTCAAAGTAAAGAGGGAGAAAGAAATAGATGAGAGTGTATGTATGTGAGATGAGGACAATTTGCTGAATCACACATCAAAGCAGATGTAGGAGCAAGGCCTGTGTCAGATACTTTAAATACACAGTGGTACATCCAAAACACGCAGAATTCAGTTCTGTGTTCCCGGACAGCTCAGACATACTGTAGACAATGACTAAAACGAGCAATAAAGCCCTCTGAGAGGAGGTTGCAATTGAAAAGAGATTGAAGATTAAATCAAAGAGTGTCACATTTAATATTCAGAACACTCTAACTGAATCCTTACTGCCTGGGCTATAAATGGAATCTTACCGTGGGCTGGAATGAGAAAGTGGGCTCATTTCTTTCTGATAGTGATGCTCCTGACTGACAGGCTGTGGAAAACAAAAATAATAGATTGTTTAAAAGTATGTCAGAGATCTGGTATGAGCACATACATTTGAAGCTTCTGATAATAGAATTTTACAGTCTTTTTTCTTATCTGTGAAATTAAAAATGGATATTCTGGTCCTAACTGTACAAAAGTACAACTTTAAAGATGATTCTTGTCTGGGTGGAAATACATATGAATTAAGAAGTCGATCACACAGTTATTTCTCTGCTGCCTGTGAGAGCACTGGGACAGTCAGGGAACTTCAGAGATGGAGGGTGGTAAAGTCTCGTCTGACAGAAGAGTCTGGATTGAACGTGTGCACAAAGCATGAGGAAGGAACTCTTGGTGGGACCCGTGCAGAATGAACCATTTTTAAGAGTAGAAAACACCAAGGGAGAGGTGTAAGAGGGCTGGCAGAGCAGGTTAGAAGCAGCAATGACAGTAATTTTAGCAGTCCCAAATGAAGGTTACTGAAGCACATATGATTCTCCATGGCATTGCAGCTTTGAAGCCTGGATTAAGCTGTTCATGAATAGCTAACAGTGGACTATATGAATATTAATACAAAATATGATAATTTTCCAGTCAAATCTTACCTACCCATTGTAAGTACATGCCCCAAAAGTTTCAAATGACATTTGGTTTATGACATTAAAGAGAGTTATTTGCAAGAAAGAACAATATTCATAAACTGATGTAAAAATTCAAGAATTCTAAAATCCACAAATAGATTTTCTCCCAGAATATATGTAGTTCTACCAGAAAAGACTCCCTGCCATGATCACACACCTCAAAAGCAGTTCTAAACAAATCATTGAAGGAAATGCAAAAGAAGTGAAAATGTAAGCATTCATGAATACTTGTACAATTTAGTACATTAAATCCTAAAATGATAAAATGTGTTATGAAATTAATTTTTAAAACAAAAATTAATATACAAATGAGTATGTCCTCATGGTTTCAGAAAATGGAAAGGAATGTTGTAAAATATATGTTCAGGATGAATGACATCCTAGTTACTACCAAATATGACTCACTGCCTGGTGGTGGATAGTGCAATTCCCAGATGATAGCTAGTGGAAGACGAGGACAAGACAAGAGAGTGAATAAGTTAGTCTATGAACCAGAATGTCTGTCTAAATAATTTTTAGTCTCATTTCATAGTAAAGAATACTCTGCCTCAGTTTTGCAATTTGACTTGATGTGAACAGATCCCTCCAGGGGTTGTCAAACTGAGCTCACAGTTGGCATAATTCTGGGTTTAAATAACACTCCTCTTGTCTGTCAGACTTCAGTTCTGCCAGACCATTTTTGTGTTAAGTGGCTTTCTTTTCATGAAAAATTAACAAAGGAGGCCAGAAGACCATCCACAAATTAGATATGAACCTGGAAGTAGTCTTTTAAATATTTTTCAGACAAGACTTATGTGACTGAATTTATATTTAGGAAATTGCTTGTGGAACAAGTAAACTTCTCTGTGAGTACTCCTTACTTGAAAGACATGTCTTAGTGGTGGGCATAATTTGGATTCTGGTAATGCAACATTATATCACTATTATACCACTACAAGTTTCCAGGATGTAACATTGAGCATTTAGGAGACTCTTCCTTCCCCTTTGTATTTCTGACTGAGAAACAGACACCATATGCAGTCAGATATTGTATAATTCTTGTATAGATGATCTTTCTCCAGAATGTTTGTGTTGTATCTAAATTAGTGTCTGAAGTGTGGAAACAACTATCCAAGAAGCTGTATGGGCCAATTCTCTGACAGGGCAAGAAGGTTTTACAGGATCTCTAGAATAAAGCAAGGCATTTAAAAAGAAATGTTTTGTAAGCTTTGCAAATTTTCTTGGATAATGTATATATGTGTGGGTGTAAACTTCACATTAAATTCTGCAATATACAGAACTGTGTCTTTCATAGTATTGCAAATCCAGCATGGATTTTCATAGGTCTTAAGATTTAAGAAAACATTTAGGTAAGACATGGTCAAATAAAATATTTTAAAATATTTAGCTCTACATACACATATTATTGAACTGCAACTGTGTCCCACACACATTTTACAAGGGTTTACAATTCTCCTTCAAAGTAAACCCATTTTAAAGTAGAAGTTTTTCATATTTATAACTGAGGCTGTGCTGGGTAATGTATAATATTCAAAGTGATTTTATTCCTGTTTGGCTGTCATAGTTTACAGCAGCAGCTAAACCACTTACATTTCAACATTTTCTCCTGACAGCATATATTCAGTTCTTGGTAAACTATCATAGGATATAAACCCACAATTTTAGTATCTCTGTTCTGTAGTTGTTTAAGGACATCTGTTCTAACTGCAGCTCATCAATATGATTGATCTATGTGCCTTTACATTCACAAGGGCTTCTCAGATTCATTAAAGTCAGTAACATGACACTTTTCAATGACTTTCGCCAAAAATGGTAAAGTGGTGAAAAAAATTAATCTCATTTAGAATGTGGTTTTTATATAGAATATTACTTTGATACATAAATTCACTATCTAACATGATTATACCCTGCCCTGCCGTGCAAAACATCAAAGGTATTTCCAAATTAAAGATACACAAAAAGCTGCCTTCTGGTGGTGCTGTTGCCATAGATTCCACCTAAAGGACACAAATGTATAAAATGAAGAAAAATTTGTAAGAAAATACTCCTTATTTATCTTTGAAAAACATAAGAGAAAGCAATTGAAACTACTAATTTAAAGAATCAGAAAGATACAACCTGGAAACACATGTACGCATGAAAATTTAATCACGACAAGAATTTTAAGCTGTCCTTAAATTCTCAAATTCCAATATGAAGGTTATTTCTATTTATTTTCTATATACTGCACTGCTAAAATAATTTACCTATGCAGTTAGAAGATGGCTACAGATCTATATCTATAAACTTTTCTGCAGTCTGTACATCTTATTTTGGAAGGACTGAGCATTTGAAAATTCTCTTAACTCAAAGGATGGTGGTACTAAAGATCAGGGAATAAAAAGAAATCTGCTTTTATTCTACATGTCTTTTTTTACATAATAAATATATATAAGGAATAAACATATGTAAGAAACACTTCTTTATAAAAACTGGAAGCTGAAGAAATGTTAACTAGTACTGAGGGATGAAGAAATTGAGAGCAGCCCTGTGGAGAAGGAGTACTGGGGGATAAAGAGCTAGACATGACCTGCCAGACCAGAATGCCAGTAGAATCCTGGACTGCATCCAAACGAGGCATTGGCAGCAGGTTCAGGGAGGGAATTCTGCCCCTTTGTCCCCATGAGACCTCACATGGGGTACTGTGTCCAGCTCTGGGGTCCTCAGTACAGGAAAGACATGGACCTGCTGGAGTGAGTCCAGAACGGGGCTGCAAAATTTATCAGAGGAGTGGAAGAGCTATCCTATGGAGCCAGGCTGAGAGAGTTGGGGTATTCAGCATGGAGAAAAGAAGGCTCTGGGAAGGTCTTACTTATTAAGTAAGTGGGGTGATTAAATAATCACCTCCACTAACAAATGTTGTTAGCAGCCTTCTTAGATACCAAAGGTCTACAAAGTGAATTATCACTCTCACATAGACACTCCACATTTTTCCAAATGTTTCAACAGAATTACATCAAGTAAAATGTCAAACACACAAGTCCATGCTCAAAAAACTTCCATCATATCTATGAAGAGCTGGTACTCTGGCTGGTGTCTCAGCAAGGAAAATATGAAGTGAAACAGGAGATTCTGGGGACTGACTGACACTGTACTGGTACAGTGTTGCTCTCCATAAAGGCTGAGGTAAATGGGTATGGAAGACCTGGGAAGCTGAATTTCTTTGGTTTTGTGTTGGACTAAGCTGTTAGTCTTTATCTGAGAAAGATTAGGTTTCTTTCCTAAGTTATCCCTCCTTTGAAATTAGGTTCTTGCCATTTAATCTTAAACCCTCAATGTCCACTTTGCAGAATGCAGAGGAGAAATCTGGCAAGGCTGAATGTGTAAGGCACACCAAACTCTTCAGTCAGCTGAATGAAATGTGAAGAACTCTCTCAAAGACAAAATCTGGCCTTTTATGCTTGAATTATGTGGAGGAAGATGGCCATGAAGGTCTGTTATGAACAACTACAACTACATTAAATTGCAATTTATACTGCTAACATATTATATCTAAACACAATTTTAGCTACAGAAGTTGACCAAGACAGTAAGATCACAGAACAGTCTTTGCAGTCACATTGTACTTCACTGAATACTATAGCAGTATGTTTTCCTTTAAAAGTTCATTTTGTTTCAGTCATATGATTTGTATTAACCAAATCTGATGTGTCTAAATATTCTTATTAATTTCCATATAATTAAACTACTGAAAAAATAACGAAACTGCTGTTCTCTGTATTTAATTGAGTTTGAGTTCCATTTGTCTGGTCTTGCAGTTTTGTGCCATGTTTGAGCCTATCTAATGAGCATGGAGAAAACACATTGGAAATATTAAATTAACAAAATGTGTAATGGAGATGTACATCAAATAGTTAATGCCAACTAATGTTTCTCTGATATCCTGCAAAATATTACTCTGTAAGTCAAGTTCTTATTTGTACAATTACTCACTTATCAACACACCTCATCTGAAGCCTTCATTTAACAGGTACTCCAAAGTTCCAGCACTGTGTTGATCATTAACTCTGGGAAGTTGCTGCTACAGGCCTCTACTTGGACCCTGTAGAACCTTGAAAGTAATTTGCACCTAACATTTTAGAGCATTAACTCTGCAATAGTTTATATTGGGGCAACACAGCTGTGTTTACTCTTCTAACGCTGGATTTGCCTCAGAGTTGTACTGTGTGCTTTACTTAAGCCACATTCATTGTTTATTACTGCTTCAACTGTAATAAAATAACAGCTATATTGCTGATATGGAGTATGAGTTTATCTAGTTTTACAGCAACTCCTGCTAGTACCTTTATAGAGTTCCTGAAATGTTATTCTGTGCTTTCATACATTCAATACTTTTTTGGTGGACTGCAACAAATACTCTGCTTCTTATAGTAGTATTGTCACATAGTGCAGCTGTGTGTGATTCTGTACCACTTTGTACCAGGACAAATAATGATCCAAGGTGTAAAATACATAATGATCACATACTAAGTGCTCAGAACTACTGCAGCTTTTTGCTGCTTTCTCCTGCTTCAGTTCTTTAAACATTTAGCTTTTCAGTAATGAGACTTTATCATTGTAAGAAGCAATTATTTTCCATTACTCACACTATAATGCAGCTGCTGACTGGTATATCTGGGTTTCATTCATTTTGGAACTATTCTTAAGTACTATATCACACACCTGCAGGTTGTCAGCCACTATTGTGATGAACTGTACAGCCTACACTATTATTCAGGATTCTAGGAAGGAATATATATAATAGATTTGCTCTTTATCCATGGTGGTACTAGAGAACGTGCTGGAAATGCATGTGTCTCGGTTAAATGTTTCACTTGATAAATCCTAAGAGCCTTTGGTAATGATACCTTAAATTTCAATTCTACTCAAAGAAAATTTAGTATTCAAGACCCCTGAGAAAATACTGTGGGTTTATACTTACTGATGGGAAACAAGAGTTCCAGGTTGCTGTATCATCATCACTGCTTATACTTATGTTGACATTGCAGCAATTGGTCTTTGAGGCGTTCAGCCCATGGGAGATTCCAGCATCCCATAATTCTTTTTGTTGGCTCTTCATGCTGGCCAGCATCTGTAGTTCAGATGAACTCAGTCTATTTGACTGGTACTTTTTCCTGTCATACTCCTGTGAAATCAAATAGAAAAGTCAACAATATAGACAGGATCACGGAACAGAACAGATGAATGAAACACAGAGAGACCTTGGAGAATTTCTCAGAGAATCTTCAAGAAGCTTCAATAGTGAAAGAGAAAGAAAACGTTTACTAGAAAAAATTAGTTAAGAGATTGCAGTTATGAAGATCAAGCATATTTACACACAATTACAGGAAGGAAGAACACCACAAGCACTGTAACGAATGGCAGTCTTGATCCATGGTGTTTAGTGAAGTTGCTGTTCCACTGCAATTAAAAACAGAAGATAAAGCCAGGCTTTAAGAAGTTCAAAAATCCATAGCTATTAAATGCAAATCTTGAATTAAAGCAAATCCCACATTTATCACACTATCATCAACACCATCAATGTAACAGTTATTGGTCAAGCACAGCATAAAATTTCTCTGGAAAGCCATATCAACACTAAATTTCAAAGGTTATTCTGGCAGCCTGCTAGTGTATACATTTTCAAGTAAACTTTGATGTCTTTTCGCTTTTCTTCAAATCCACTGGTGGAATTGTTAATGTAACCTTAATTGTTATACCAGACTAGATTCACAGGCCAAAAGCTACAAACTCATACTAACCATTTTGCAGCTGGTACTTAAGCCTCTCTCAAAACCTTAGGATAAGATAGTTTAAAGTCACCCAACCTGCTGTTTGCACTATCTTTGTTTAAATTACTCCTTCTTTAAGGAAAGCTTTCCCGTTTTTAAAGGGTCCATATATATTGCTCTTTCACAAAGTAACAAGTCTAATACTTAAGAGATTTAGTTTTGCTTCTAAATGTAAATACAAAACATTTCTGCTGGAAAAGTGAATCCAGGCAGTGACCAGGACTTGAATGGATTTAGATCATTGGAATTTTGGCCAGGGGGCTGAGAGACACTATATAACAGTATCCCAAAGAGGGACAGAGCTTTGATTCTAGTGAAGAGAACGGAGCTTTTAGACCAGGAATGTATCATATTCCTGGCAGAAGGGAGGATCTCTCAGTCTCTTTTGCTGTGAGAAGGCACTGGGTCACTGAAGACCTCAAGAACTACAAGTCAGCAGTACAAGTGATATGAACATTGACTTTTCTCTCTATGAGATGCAGTGTGTAATGTTTTAGTGTGCCTTTGAGGGTTACAGAAGTCACCTTACTACCAAAATTCATAATGGAATTATAATTCCTTTGCTTTCTTCCTATGCACGTAAGATACAAGGTACCAGAAGACAACAGAATATACAAAGCATAAGATGACAGAAGCAGTTTCCACAGGTATCATTCCTTTTTTACCCCTGGCTAATGAGGTTAATTTCTGAATACTGTGATTACTACTACTATTTTTAATCCTAAAATAACATGAGATGTTTTTTCTAGACTGTTTCTGAATGCCTTTTAGTAGCTCAGTGACTATTAGTCATTTGTTCACCTCACCCAAAGCTCTCCTTGTTATGCCTGGGGAGTCTGATGTATCAGTATTCGACCAGATCTGCAGCTGCTGTAACTTTTATTGATCTTACTGAACATGCTGATTTCCTGTTAATTTTCCTATATATAAACCTTCTGCAGTTATTTGAATATTATAGGAGAAGCTTTGGCTCATCTTTCTTCCTTCATATAATTCGTATGCAGTCATTAAACTGACAGAATGAACTGGTGCTCTGCAGAATAAAAGTGCTAACTACTGAAAGAACTTTTTTGTCTTTCTCTTTTCAACAAAAGCATAAAAATTTGCCCAAACTTGCTTGTCTTTTCCTTTACATCTATGAAGAAAGATGCAAAGACTTCTGGAATTATTACAACATGATTCTAAACATCTGCTGTTCCCCCACCCCCTCCCCAGCTTATTTCTAATTGTCATTCTGATTTCTTTTCCTGTAATGGTCTCACTCTGAAAATACCACAGTCAGGAAGAAGAGATGCTATGACTATTTTCTGTGTTAAAGCTCCCCTAAAATAAACTAATGAAGGAGAAATAGTTTGGAATATTTATTCTTCAACTTCAGATGACTATTACCAAAAAGCCTTTTCAAAAATTTTATATTGTCTTCGTTGGTTTTCAAAGAGAGAGAATTTGAAAACTGAATTTGAAATTAAGTTAACTTTGTAATTTAGGACAATCTTTTGATGTAAGAAGTAATTTTTCAATACTCTTAAATTTGCCTAAAATTAATATTTCATTTAGTAATTAAAAGCTTATCTTGTCTATTTGCATATCCTTCCCTTACAATAAAGTATTTTTATTAAGCACTTAAAACTTTTGCTAGATTGATAAAACCTGTTGTTTAAAGGATTTTTTTCATATATAATGACATTTGCATTCTTCTAGGTTCAAATGATTTATTCAGAATTGTTTGAATGTAGTTATACGTGTGGAAAACTTTAATTATCAGCTATCTACATGCTTGCAATATTACCCAGAGGGCTATACTTCTTTCTTAATTAAAAATATTTGAACTTAATAATAGAGAACTCTATTAAAACATGAATAAAACATTGCAAGAAACCAGGTCCTTAAAGCATATTAAGCAGCAGGCAAATCAATTGTAGAAGACTTGGTTAAGCACTTTTTTTCCCTCTACTAGTCCTCTGTATGAGCACAAAAAAGAAGTGTCAAAAAACTCCAAGGAAGGGCTTCCATAAAGTTTTAAGACTTGATCAAATCAAGCATAACAGCTAGATCTGCCAGATACTTTAATCTTATATTTTGTAGCAATAAAACAAAGTCTGTAGCTAATGAATTTCTATACATTAATAATAGGATTTGTTCTTGAAAAAAAATACTTACAAACAACAAATCACACGTGCAATACATTTATAGCTACAAGTGCAGTATGGTAATAACCTTATTGTCTAAATTAGTAATCAACTATTGCAACCCACCTTGAGAGTCTACATTTAGCTGTGCTCTAAAGGACAAAGTTGATGACTGCGTTAAACTGATGATACTTTCAAGAAAGTAATACATGTATAATTTCATTTATTATGGAAAAATAGGTTACAGTTATGAAAAGTAATAAACATACTTGAATTGTAAGTGAAACAATTTTCTAAAACCTGAAAGTATCAGGAAAAGAAGAATACATTTAATCACATAATCCCAGAATCACTAAGTTGGAAGAGACCTTCAAGATCATTGAGTCCAACCCATGCCCTAACATCTCAACTAAACCATGGTATCCAATGTTTTTTAAACATATCCAGGGATGGTGACTCCACCACCTCCCTGGGCAGACCATTCCAGTACTTTATCACCCTTTCTGTAAAAAACATTTTCCTAATGTCTAACGTGTATTTTCCTCGGTGCAGCTTAAGACTGAGTCCTTAGACACAGTCTAATTATTTTCCTAAGAAAAAGAGAATCAGTTTATTGGTATCAACTGGGGCTTTTCCTATCACTGAAAATTACAGAAACATTATCTTCTTTCCAAATAGAAATGAACCCATGCATTGCTTTCTTCCACATTTTCTACATCACTAGTGGCAATTCTAATGTCTTTTCCAGATCATAAATAGATAGAACATATGCTGCTATAAATAGGATTTTCCTTTGCTTTTTAATTTTTTTGCTTTTCATTGTCTTTCAAATCACCAGCCACTGATATTTCTCATGATAATAAAGTCTGATTTTCTCTTGCACTATTGTGTTTCATTCCCCCTGCTTTCCCCTCATCCACTTCCGTCCCAAAGGAAACCAGTCTCCACAACTTTCATGGAAACAGATGTTCTGGTTCATCAGGAAAATCACAGGGCCTTCACCAATCCAATAAACTGCTTACAAGACACAGGAAGAGTTTTCCAGAATCCCCAGTCTGAGAGACAACCTCACAGCACTGAGAGACATGTAAAACCCAGACACTGCCCCAGTACTAAATGACCCATTTCACAAAAAGCACTGAAGCATCCCTGGCAGGGCAGGATGAATATTTCTCCATCAAGGCCACACATTAAAGCTGAACACATGCTTTCCTAGACACAATTCTTTAATCTGGTGTCCAATTCAGATTGATCCTCCCAGCTCCGTGTCTGGACTTCCAAACCCAGAGTTCACTGCAGGGCTGCCCATCCTCAGCAGCCCCAGCAGCCCCAGGCAGGCAGGTAGAACCTTTCAGTGGGATGGCCCTGCCCCAGCAGCAGCAACCATGTCCCATGGAAGTCATCACTCCTGCTTCCCTTTTCACAGAGGCTGTCAAATCAGGTAACTAAAATGAACTGTATCAACAGGTCACAAAAATGCTACAGACCAAAATTCCCTCAGCAGAATCACAGCACACTCCCCTTCCTACAGCAGATGAGACAAACTACAGGGACACAAAAATTATAGATGTCCATTTCCTTCATGTAAATGAGGTACAGATCATATTCCAAGACATTAAAGTAGAAAAATGTTTACAAACAATGCATAACTACTTCATAGAGCCCCTCAAAAAGAGGGGTCTATTCTTTTGGTCCCTAGAGGTGTGCAATACCTGGGTCCAGTGATATAAGAAATTCAAGATATATCCAAAATTCTAGAAAACAAACCCCATGCTTACAATAATGATCATGCAGTAGTTCTATTCAACATCCCTGGGTAAAATTATCCAAAAAAATTTACAGAACAGCAATTCTGGGACCATAGAACTCCTAGACCTATAAAAGAGACACCTGCAGGGGAATATGATACATAGCCATGAAGTAGGAAGTGGCACAGCTAAGAAAATGAATTAAAAAAAATCATTGTTTTTTATAATGAACAGAAGAATAAGAAAGCACCAGGAATGAGAAAATGCATTAAAAAAATTAAGATACATATTTTTTTCCCACAAATAGCAGTTTAAGTTTGAAATTCACCTGGACAGAAGCTGCCTCACTGCTGGCTCTCCATCACATAATTTATCATTGCTCAGGGGTGACACAGAGAGACCATGAAGCACCCAAATTAACACTCCTTCTGTGGTCATTTGCTAATACAGCAATTTAAAATCTGCCAATTTTCCTCAGCAACCTTTCAGTCCCAAACTATTTTCTAACTCATGTATTTCCAAAATGTGAGTTGCTCAATGACACATCCTTTTATCTACAAACCTTTGTGATTTCTGTTATATTTGGAGTATTATTTTGTGTGCCACAAACCCCTACAAAATCAACTTTCAACAGACTGAGCACAGTAAATGCTGTTATGATGAAGCCAGAATATATCTGAATGAAAGATGTACTATTAATCACTTCATGCAAATGGGTATATCTAATATAGCTTCTCTATACAATCTAGTAATTTAATTTCAAAGTAAAAATCACTTACACAAGTCTGTGCTGTCAGACATGAATTTCCTTTAGAGACTTTTTTGACAGATGTTTTACTGACAGATCTTTCTAATTGATCTGAAACTCCTTCATATCTTTCAGTTTCTTCAGATAAATTTCTAATTACTCTAAAGGATTTGGATCTACTTTGAATTGGAGAAAGAGAAAGGATAGGCTTTAAACTTCTCTCAAAGCTGATAGATTCTGTTTTTCCCATAGTGGAACTCTGTGGTTTTGATAAGATGTCCTCTTTGAAGTTATATTTGCCGTGTTCCTTATTCTTCCAGTATTCATTTCTCTGTGACATCTTATTTAATGGGATGTCTTTAAAAACTGCTGAATCAGATGTTCCTTGTCTACTGTGGATGTTCTCAATGTTCTCAGTACCCTGGATGAGTTCACTGTTGTCATCCTAAATTTAGGAAACAAAGCAAGAGTGGTTGGTTCCCTCTCATCATTACACAATTCAGTTTTACATAACCTTAACACATCAAAATCTCTCTTTAATCTCTTCTTCCTGTTTCTAAATTTACAAGGATTCTGAAAAACAGCTGCTTTTCCTGGCAAATACACTGACTATACCATAAACATATTCTTACATCTGAAGCTGATTACTCTTTTCAAAATGTCAGGCCAGATTTTGAATGCTGGTAACCTCCGAAACCAGTATAGGTTTGTCTCTTACCTGACAATCATAATTTCAATAGAATTTATTACAACTGTAAACAAAAACTAAGCAATGAGTCCATGACAATGATGTCTTTCCATTGAATTATTAATACTCAATATTTTCACATTGCATCTTCAACTTAAATGTAGAAGAAATAACTCCTGCTGAGATCACTTTGTTCTGCTCTGGTAATCATATGGTACTGGATATCATATTCATTGCCATTTGAATACAATTTAAGAATTTTAGAGGTTTATTAACCTTATATCCATGTTTCTAACAATGTCTCTAAAAAATATCCCATGAATCAAGTGTATAATGTTCACTCATACCCTATCTCAACAACAATCAGCAGGACTGAACTGATGGAAAGAGAAATAACGCAGGAGTGCATCTAGTGTTTGTCTCAATGTTCTTATTCTCAAGAAAGAAAGGAGAGAGCAGCCCCATCTTCATCTTGTGATGCTGCTCCTCTGGCATATGTTCCCACACAGGATGTGAGGCAGTATCACCTCTCACAGCTGAGGTGCAATCCTGCTCCACATGAATGTGATCCAAGATTGTTACTGACTTCAGTGAGTCCAGGATTGCACAGCATGCAACATACATTTAAAAAGATAATCCCTCAGTTTTATTAATGGTACACATTTGGGAAATTTATAGTTTATTCCCTCAGTTATTTTGTAAAACAGTTAAATTCAGTCCATCTTGCTATTGCACATCTCAGTTACATTGTATTTCTCTGTTGTAAGCAACAGATTCAAATGCTAAGAAACAGATTTCATAGCTGAAAGTGAAATATACTGGAATGCTCATAAAGGTAGGAACTTTAGCAGTTCCTGTAATGACATTATGAAATTATCACATACATTGACAATTCAGCAAATTTCTATATAGTAACAGATGATATTAGACAGATATACTAAAAAATTGTTTGCTTTCTTTCATTAATTTCATTGCTGGAAGATTTCTGCATTGCAAAAGAATTAAAGTTGGTGATGCTCAGACAGGATATGCAGCAGATATGCCAATAATCAAGTGACATTCAAAACCTGGGATTTTGTAATTCACTTTCAACAATGCCAATGAGCAAAACCAGTTCCATTTGCAGTTTTAAAAGATACAATGAAGTCTTATTGCTGAAGTCTCGAGCAACCATGAAGGACTTGGATCTCACTCAAATCTATGATGCAGGCTTTCCTAACCCTTTTTGTAGTAATGATGCACAGTTCTGGCATCTCTCTGTTAGCATAGGGGCTGACAGAGTTAGGTTTCTTTTGTCAGCTTGTTACACAGTGTACACCTGCATTGAGTCTTGTATCCTGTTAGACACAGCAACCTGACAGAGACAAAATTTACCTGTTGGTATATGGGGAAAAGATGATTTATCCTCTCTGTCTGGCTTGAAGACAGAATCTCATCCTAGGAGTTTTAGGATGAGGACTGCTCTATCAAGAGTCACATGTACAAAGTGACCTACCTCCTCACTACTGTCAGTTCCTTCAAAGCTGTCTTCAGTTTCGGTATTCTCATATTCTCCTTTACTGTCTGGCTCCAATTTCAAAGGGAAAACATAACGTTCTGGTGATATATTTGGAGACTTTCCGTAAGGAGCTGATCGAGGTTTTGATGAAAATGTGAAAACCTCTTTATTAATCCTGTGATGATCAGCTGTTTCCCTGCTGTGATGTTCAACAGAGGCATTCTGGGCTGAGGGTAAATTAGAGCAGGCTGAACTTCCAGTAGCTCCAAAGTGCTCCTCCCTATCCAACTGGATACTCTCAGTAAACCTCTCTGGAAACACCCATTTATCTGAAACATACAATTTCAATGCTAAATATGTAAATTGTGAGCTACTCTGATCATTCTCTTTATCTCAGAAAGTTGTACAGCAGAGTAAGTTTTTCTAATACAGAAATATTTTGCCTATCAAAGGCAAAGAGTGATGAGTGCTAAGATTGATGAGGACATAATGAGAAAGATCATGTTGCTTTCAAAGTGCAGCAAGGTAATAAAATTTTTTTAAACAGAGCTCAAAAAAAAAAATACAGGCTTTGGTACAGGATGTGCAAGCCTGCCATTTTCAAACCTGAAACTGTTTAGCCATCAAGATTTGAAAGCTACAACTGAATTTTATTCTAGGAAAGCATGATTTTATTAAATATGGCCATTGATCTTTTTCTTTAGGCATTTTTTGCATCTGACATTTAAAAAATAATCACACATTGGTGGAAAGTTCGTAATATTGCAATCTGCTCCTTCTTTATTGCTGAAATTCCACACTTTTACTTTTAGAACTTATGGTTTAAATCTCAATTTCAAACTATTGTTCTGATAAAAATGTGTGACATGAAAAATGTATAAAGATATCTGTTTCACCAGGTTTCCCTGAATATAGCCACAACTAATCTGACAATTTTAAAACAAACAATAAACTATAGAAATGGATTTAAAGATTGAGTGCACCAGATACACATGAAAAGACCATTTTTATATTCTTATTGTTAGCTTATATTTTACTGTTTGGAATGATGGTATAGAAAAAAAATGTCAATTTGATTGATTGCAACCAATCTCAAATAGCATCTAAGAAAAGGAGAATTGCTCAAGTATGCAATACTCCCTTATCTTCATTAAAGGTAGTGTGGTGTGGATTATTCACTAGATATTGAAACTTTCCAGCTCCATAAAATAAAGTTACCATCAACCATATTAAAAACTCAATGAAAAAATACTAAAAACATAATAATAAAGTAGCATTGCAATAATAAAATGCTTGACACCACAGAAGATAGTAAGTTCAGTGTGGTATTCTGTGCTTTATGTGATATTTTACTTTTAGTTTTGTTAGAATTACCACTTCAGGCACATTCAGCAGCTTTGGGGAGGGAGAGGTGGAAGTCTGAATCACCATAAATGAAGGCAAAAGAAAGAAGAATGAGATGCCAGGAGAAACAGTCGTCTTCTTACTGGGTTGCTGTGATTTTTCCAGTTTACTGAAGACAGCTAATAAATCTACCAAACTCTGGTAAATATCCAGGAACCAGTGAAAAGTCGGGACTTGACGTATCTTGTATGACCATGGCTTGCATCTTCTTGTTCCAGAAAAGACCATTTCTCAATCTCTTCATGAAGACCTTTCTTAGTAAGAACCCCCAAGGCTTTCCAAGTAAACTCTTGTTAAATCAGAAAATCATTCTGGTTTAAAACAATGTAGTAGAGTATGCTTTTAATTATTATAAGCCTTGAAAGCTGAACATGCAAGTGATTCCATTTATTTAATAAAAATTTTGGACTCATTTTTCCAGGAACATCAAGAAGTGAGACTTTTCAAAACTTTTAGGAAACACCCTTCATTGAGTAAACCAAATGACTTTTAATTTTGATCTCTAACTACAGGTTCTTCAAAGGAGGATATTGGAGCAGAATTATCCAGGCTACTATCATTCAAGATTGTGTCACACTCCTTTGATAACATATTTTTCATAGGCAATTGGAATTACATGTGAAGGGTTGTACACAACTAAAATAACTGAAATCGTAAAAGAAAATACAGTCATGAACATTTCACAGATTTCATGCTTTCATTATACTTTACTATCTATATAAGCTACCTTTATTAAGCCACCATTTCCCCTATAAAAATGAAATGAGAAGAGGGATCTTTTCATGATCTTTTTCAAGTGAGTCTGAGCACAGTATTTGGATGTTCAAGAACAAAGACTTAGGAACTGTTTTTTTTCCCAACTGATTCTGTGACCTAACGTGATTTAAAAACTCTGTTAAAGTAAATCAGTATTTTCAATTACTCAATTATTTATCCTGTAGGAATAATAGGAATCTGGCCCACCAAAACTGAGATTGTTTTGAAAGTCTTTGGCCCTGGAGATGCTGCCTTGTTCACAACTCCAGAAAGTGCTATGAAGAAATGCCACAAAAATATTACTTATCCCCAGACTTCAATTGGACAGCTCTTCTGGATGTAAAGAATCTTTTTCCCAGCTATTTTGTTACTAAGTCTAAAATGCTGTTTACCCTTTTTCCTAAGGCAAAGATATTAAAACTTTTACTTGATGCATTTTTCAAAACAATCAGAGAAAAAAAATAATCTTCAGAAGTTACCTAGCTAACAAATGTTTTTCAGTTTTTCTTTCCAGTCTGGCACCCACTCTTGTTTAATATAGAAATATTTTATTAGGTTTCCCTGTTAGTGTCTTGACTAACTCCAAAATACGCAACATATACTCCTTCAGTATTCAGAGGGTCATTTCCCCATCATAAAATTAGATTTGACGTTTCATGCTGCCTAACAAATATGCACTAATAGCTCAGACCACTCTAAAGAGCCCTCTAGGGTATGATTATACACTTAGTGTACAACCCACTTCAGGAGAATTCACTAATTCTTATGCACATAGAACTGCGAAATAGTAAAGAGGAGTGGCTTATTTTTTTTATCTACTGATTTACTAACAACCCACTTCCCACACTGCAATCTCACCTGTTCTAGTCTCATTCTAGAATAACTTCCAAAGCAGTTGTTGCTGTTTAATTTGTAGAGGGCATTACAGATAAAACTGTGTAATGAATTCTGAAGGAAACAATATGATAAACCACTTGGTTTTTAAGATTTTAAGTCAATTTTGAATGAAGTAACAAAACATAACAAAATGGAAAAGAAATCTTAGAGTAACAGCTTTTGTCAGGTGTTTGGAGAACATGAGGCAATTAGAGCCTTAAACTCCTGCCTTCTAACTCTGCCTCAGACATCCAAAAACTTCTTACACTTTAGTCACCATTATAATGTCTCACCCTGACCAAAAGGAGTTCAGGAATATAAAGAACTACTTTAAAATGATTACTATCTATGTAATATTAACCTGAATATTCTGCCTTTTTAGTCTAAGCCACCTTTATAGTATATATATATATATATATATATATTTATATTTTAGTTCTTTCTGTAAAGAACTCCATTAATTTCCCAAGTTGTTGAAGAAATATACTTGAGTAAAACCCAAACATTAATTTGCATAGTACAGTACTTATTCTTAATGAAATATCCAGGAGGAAAACAGAAAAGTCTGTATGATTTGAAGATGATATTTTATGCTGGCTACAGAGTCCAGCAACTTCTGTAACCTGTAGTCAGTGTAGCACTTTTTCAATAGTCCACAAGTGAAAGATACAGGGAGTTTTGGACCCAACAAAATCCCATTACCTCTCCAACAAAAACTATACAAGAATTTAATTCATTATTTCCATGTAAATTGTAATGAATAATTTGGAGTACCTTCTGAGTAAAATATGCAAACTACTAAGTAATCACAACATTGCAGCAAACAACATAAATGCAAGAATGATCACCTTAACATCTAATTAGCTCTTCTACACAGTCAGACTTATGCTAAAGCTTCTAATTGCAGGATAACATTATAATAAAGGTTTCAGCATTGAGTAAATAAGATTGGCATAAACGATGTTCACTCATTTTATTTCTTCTCTCAGGTCAAGTTTATCCCACTTTGGAAGAAGTCCAGTACAAAGCCTAGAAGAGGACTTTCCTGATGAAGAAGTTGCTTATAGAAAGTTCTTCAGAAAAAATAAATCCAGTACTAATGGATAAAAAAAATCATTAAGTCATCTACATAAAATTAGGTAACTTCATATATTGAAAAGAAACTGAAATCTGCAGACTGAGAGTGACAACAGTGACAAGCAATGGAAATCTGGGGAAAAAAGTTTGTAGAATATTCCTTACAAACTTACATAATGCATTTATCTGCACCTACACATAATTAAGATTATAAAGAAACAGTTTTCTTTCTTTCAAAAGCAAACAGCAAAAGAACAGAGTTTACGCATATCTTTCTTCCTTAGTTCTCTGCCTCTGAATTTATGAGAGGGTATTTAGACAGGCCAGTCTACTGCCCTAAGGCTGTCTTTTCATATCACCTATATTTTCATAAAATAACAAGTATTGATTAATTTTTTAAAAATTCTGGCACTAGATAGTGGTCCTGGTGTTCTTGATGAAAAAAAAGTTGACAGTGATTCCTGCCCCAGAGTTCTCAAAATTCAGACAAATAGAAAAAGACTTAAAAAATTCTCTGCAAGAATTCTCTATTTGCCTGAACATCTTGCATCTCTTTGATCTTCAGTCAAATTATGGAACCCATAATAGCAATTATGGATTACTGAAACTGCCAGAGTATATAATCACTTCTAAATATCCCCAAAGTATAAACACAATGGAAATCACTCATAATATGAAGGAAAATCTTGAACAATTTTGAGCATTTGAGCACTTTTCAAATTGGCGCCTATGCCTTCTAATAAAAAGTAACTACTTTTTCATAGAGACAAGGCATACTTTTGCCACAATAATGCAATTCCCAGACCCATGGAAAGGAAGCTGATTGACGCTGTATGATAAAAAAAATCCACATTTTTGGCAGACAGGTAAGAAAGGGAAAAACCCAAAACATAAGCTGAGCTTTCTGTGAATGTATGTCTTTCTGTGAAAAAGAAAATAAATAAATCACCACTGGACTCTATAAACAAAACAACCCTTTCTCCCTCCTTTCACCCCTCCCTTCCCAATATTACACAGATACTGCAGTTAATATTCTAAACTCTTATCTAAGACAAGTAAAATTTCTTGTACATTTCATATTTGGAGTCTTCAGTGTTAAATTTATTAGGGATTTAAAGAATAAATTATTTTTAGTACTTTTCCTTTAATCATGAGAGCAAGGAATTTTTATTTTGATATTCATTCACTGCTCTGGTACTCTGCTTAATCCTGCAAATCTTTATCAATGCTCAAAAGCAATTCTGTTGCAGGGTGCTTGATTTCCATAATCCCCCACAACACAAACATTTAATTTTTTATGTGAACTGCTTTTTGGGCCATTGAAATTTATAACAGATAGTCCTTCACACCATATAGAACTGAAATGTAAAATAATAAAATGAGTACTGTACCACTGGCTATCTTCCATGTAGGTTTGGCTTCATCTTTTAGAGATAATATTCTATGAATGTTTTTGTCCGGTGATGGTACTTGTGGTGAGGTGAGCTGAAAATCTGCTTCTCCACTCACAGATGTTTTCTGAGTCTGAATTTCAGGGTCTGAAATGCAATGCAGAAAGGAAATGCCATGAAGACTCATATTGTGTGCATATGGGGCATTGTACTGGGATGCAAACCTCTTCTAAACAGCATGGGGATCTTGCAGGGTAGCAGGAACAGGGCAGCCACAAGGAAGGAAAAATTTAACACTAGGTATGGAAAAAGGGAAAACCATAGTAATTATAAAAAACAGGCTTGCAAAAGTCTGCAAAACAATCAAGAACTACTGCAGCAGCTCAGTTATTTTCACAGCATGAGAAAAGAGGAGCATGTGTATAAATTGTGGTTACTGCCAGCAGGCGATGATCCCTGGCTCAATCACTCACAATACAAATAGCTGTAGAGAGAATGAGCGTTTGTTCACCCTCATACAGGAGAATAAGTCATGATTTAATGAATATGTCTTCAGTAATTAATTAAGTAGATAAAGGATTAGAAAAACAAAGAATTAAGTCCTAGATTCAAAGGCACAATCATGCAAAAATTTGTCAGTCTGAGAAGTCTACATATTCTTTGCTTTACACTCTTACCATTTTGGTATTCATTTTCAGTTGTTTGGAGAGTATTTCTTTTGCCTCCTTGATCTAAAGTATCACTGCATGGCCGGAGTGGTAGCTCCAGTTTCTCAATATCTGATATGAATTCAGTTGGCATTCCTGAATTTTGAAGCTGGCATGATGTTTTGCTACCCAAGGTCTTTGTTACCTTGAAAGACAATATTTCTTGATGAAAGACAAAAATATAACAGCTTTCAAAATACTCAAAGGTAAATCACACATTATGAATTACACTTATTTTTCAAATATATATTCCCAAATCTTTTTTTAAACACTATCTTCTCAGAAAACTTCATGGTAGACTCTATTCAGTGTGGTATCTTCAGTCTTTACAGTCAAGGAGCAGGCAGAAGGTTTTCTTTTCATTGAGTGAATGGAACAATGCAAAGAAAAGGGAAAAAAATTAGAATTCCTTATCAGAATAAAAAGATGAAAACTTGTAGTTATTCTAGACCTCAGGAGTCTTTTCGTCTTCAGAGAAAGGAATATAATTTTACGTCTTGACTTTCAAGTGACTTCCTACACAAGAGTTGTCTGGACCCCTTATTCTTGGTATCAAACTGAAAACTGTATTCCTGATCAGATTCCAAAATCCTCCATATTTGTTACTGGCAGAGTGGGTTCAGGTGTTTTCCCTGGCATTGTAAATGACAGCATCACATGAGCTGTAAGGCTGACATGTAAAGCTTACATGTAAGGCTGACTATCAGAGCATCCTGAAATGTAATTTCTGCTCTGCATTATAGCTTTTGTCATAAGGAAAAATGTTTGCACACACACACACAGGCGTGCACACACAAAAATACACACATGTGCACAAACACAGAGAAATTTCAGCAGTCTAGAAACAAAAAATTCAGTAAAGTAAGAATGATAAGAAATCACAGAGTAATTTTAGTAGAAAGAGGCATCTTTGTCTGATGCTGAAATTAGATTAGCCTATTTCATTCAAGTTTTGATGTCTTCAGAAGTTCTGAAATTCTCCAAACTCTTGTGACTGTCGCAACCACATCTTTGTTATATTTAGTCAGAGACTCCCTGCAATTAAAGCCCACTGCTCTTGGCCTTTCAGGGCACCTCTTAGAAGAGGCCTGGCTTCTCTACAGCCTTGCATTCATTGAAAATAGCAACCAGATTTCCCCTTAGACTTCTCTCCTGTGGGCTCAATAAACCCATGCCCTGTGCTGGAGCCAACCATGCATTTTCCTTGCCCTCCTCTGGATGTTACAGGATCTCTGGCACTGGAGGTCCATGACCTATCACAGTTCTCTGGAGGAAGCCTTTGAAATAAACCTTTAGTTTAACTCCTCTGCTTATCAATATCTTCCTTTGCAAAAGTGCCAATGGTGTTGTTGGAATTTGGGAATTTAGCCCTTCTTACCTTTACAGGTACCTTTGCTTTGGTTCTTCTGTTTGAAGATGGAGGTGGCCCAAGGATCTTTGACCCAAATGCAATGTGTGATACATCCTGAGTTTTACTGTTGCATATGTTGCTTTGGCCTCTATTACCCAAGATACCTAAGTTAAGAAAATTAAGAGTTTAAAAAAAATTACAGTACTTACAAACAATGAAATGTAGTATTTTTTTTAGAATAAACTAAAAGAAAAGAATTATGAATATGAAACATATATAAAAGTTATGTTCCTTTAAAGTGCACTCCCTAGAAATATAAGAATAGCAAATTAACATTTTATAAAAGTGTGTCAACATATCAGCAAGAAACTTTTGGTCTATTACAGAGACATATTTATAATCTTCTTGCTTTAAAGATTTCTTTAAAAGTGGGTTATTTATAAATAAAAAAAATGGTTTGCAGGATTTCTTTAGAACTTCAATGAAAACCCAACTTCTGACAAGAAGAAAAAAGAACTCTAATTAATAAATAACAGAATAAATAAATAATAACACAAAAAAATGGAGAAAAGACTGTCAAGGTATTAGTCACAGCTCAGAGAACTATTTACATGTACCCTGCTTTTTGAAATTACTGAATCTACTGTATTACCAGGCCTGAGCCCTAATATTGCAAATGCAGTCTATTGCTGCTAAAATATTCTACTCTTTTCACTTTTTTTATTTTCTTTATTGCTTAAACTGTAGATTTATTTTTATAAGTCTTTTAAAGCATGGAAATTGCCAACTAGTCTTCAAGACAAAAAAAGTAAACATGGAATGCAGGTGAATGTTCTCAATAATACTTAAAAAGGAAGGACAGTAAAATGGTTACACATTCCTTTTACCATTGGGGTTATAGAGCTGCATGTAATATTTATTTTCCTCTTTTATAATTCTCCAAGATTGTCAGTGAATTCTCCTTTCCAGAGCTGATAAAAATGGTATCTTCACATTAATTTATATTTAATATTTACAATGTCCAGATAAATTTTCTTGCTAAAACTTGTATTAAATTGCTATCTCACTTTAGAGATTTGACACCTTCATAAGGCAATAAAGTAGAAACAAAATATTTTGCCGATTCCCCTGAGCATTTTTCATAACCTTATTCAAGATGAGCTTTATTTATCATCAAGGAAATGAAAAACAGATCATACATTAGCCACCAATATCATCATTTACTGTACCAATAAGCACAGAAGCAGCTACTTACTGCCATTACCTGATTCCTTTTTTCCTGATGTGACATTTGGTTGCTGTTAAGAGATGCCATTTAACAAGATCAGATGACCTGTCTTGGTTTAACATAAATTTCTTTTTTGCTGGCTACCTTGGGATGTTGTTAGCTCCAATTAGAAAAGCTGATTTGCATTAAAATCTCTCTTAATGACCACATTAATTGACTGCAATTAATTACCTACATCTACACATAACAGTATGTTGATGACATAATGAAATAATATGTGTAATTAAAAGTGGATGATACTAAAAATAATTTGGGCTTTTGATTTTCAATTAAATAAGAAGTTTAATGGATTAAAAGAACATTTTCCAATTAAAATGTACCTAAATATACCAAAGCTTCCAATTTCAAGTAGGCCAGCCTCTGAAGTTTTAAAAATGTGTCTGGTAGGACACATGCTATGTTCATAAGGTGGGATTAAAAAAAAGATTAAATCTTAAACTGAAGACATTTCATCTTCATGCAGGTGAGGGATGTTGTCATTAATTATTTTAGCATATATTCCTATGGGCTATGTATCTTTGTAGTCCAGATGGTAAAACCTGAGTCTTGTTTTAAATGAACATTAATTTTTCCTGCTTAAGATGCATCATTCACACTATTGTACTCATTTAAATTTTACAGTCCCTCATATTTTGACAATACAGACAAGGTTTTTTTTAAAATATAGCCACTAAGAAACTGGATTACAGTTTCCTCTGCTATTCCAAAGACAAATGTGTAATCCAACTTTACAACAGAACTCTGGCTTGACTACTTGTAGGGCAGTAATAGTCCCAAAGTATTGTTTTCCCTTTAATATAAAAAGGTACTTGCTTGTAAAAAAAATAAAAAAGTTGAACATAATTTAAATAAGTAAATATATGAAGAGTCTTACTCAAAGCAAAAATTCAAAACCCCTACTATTCATTTCACCTGCTGTAGGACAAAGATTGCCTTTGCTAAGGAGGTATATTGAGAGAGAGCAAAAGCTAACAACTGGAAAAAGCACCAGCATAGGCAGCTCAGTGCAGACGATGAAATTTTTATGAGTTGGTTTTTTCATATTGTAAAAGCAGAAGAACAGAAGTTTAAAAAATAGTTTTTAAAAACTTTTGATATTATGAAGGTTCTCAGAGTTTATTTTTCTTTAGAGCTTCATGAGATGAATATAGTCTTAAACTTAACCAGTAGTTACCATTCTCTGTAACCTTATTCCCTTGGTCAATACTTCGCACATATTTTTTCAGAGAATTTTAACAGAAATGGTGGAAACAATTATTCACTGAATTAAAATACTAAGGATGAGAATCCGAAAGGCTGAGAAAGTTCTAAACCCAGTGGAATAAAAATCTATCTTCTTAACTGACAGCACCAATTCTAAAATTGCTTATGCTGATGAAGATCTGATGGAAATGGGTTCTTTATCTGATTGGCTTGCTCACACCCACTTTGCAGCTACTTCAGCCTTACTTCCTTCCCAGAAGATGTTCTAGCACCCTGTTGTAGTATGATCATATGACCCATAAAAGGGGGTACAGAGAAAGGGGGAAATTAAATGCTTTAGGAAGACATTGCAACTCTTACATGGGTTAAACCAAAGCTTCAGCTTTGTGCCTTATTCAGAAGCCAATAACAACATAACAAAAGAGCAGAGGAAGAAGGTGCCTACACAGAGATTTCACCTGTGCATTTTTGTAAGTTCCAGCAATAAGAAGTTTATGTACGTCTCCAGATTAAGAAGAAAAAAAACAAAAATCAAAATATTTTAAAAGGCTGAAATTATCTGTTCTTCATGAAGGACATGAATTAGAATACCTCATTTAAGATCTATTATAACTCTCATTTTTAAGAAGGGCTGGCACATATTCCAGGATATTTAGTGTTGTTACTGTTCTGGATCTACACAAGAACTTTTGTTTTTAAAAAAAGAATACAGATCAGTTAAGTGTACATGCAACTGAATTTACAAATCCAGTAAAATCCTGGGCATAAGGAAATTACATTTTTGATATGTTTACAATTCTAATCAATGAATTTTATCAAATATTAGTGAAAATTATCTCTTTTTTCTACATTGATTTATTTCCTTTTCGGAATTGTAGCTGATGTCTTCAAAACTCAAAAAACTGATTAAAAACTCCCATATTTTCTTCAACTACAAAGAAACTTGTCAATAGCTGAAAATTTTATTTCATTCTTTTCATAGTTCCATGAAGACCACTACCTCTTATGAATAATTTTACAACTCCAGATTTCCAATAATGAGAATAAATAATCTATGTTTCTCTCTACTGCTGTTCTTTAATGATGATGTATCTCTTTACAAATTTGTTTTAAAGAGATAGTCAGTACTTTGAATCAAGACAATAAGGACTGTAAATATATTTGCCTTGGTGAAATTCTGCTGTTGACTTTACTGCAGGTAGGAAGCAATGCACAGTTTTAATGCAAAACAGCAGCTTTACTAAAAAGCTCTCAATTGTCTGACCCAAGTGTATTTAGGCAATTTCACATCTTAGCATTTGTATCTACAATTCAGTTTCTACTGATTTCTGGCTTACAGATCTTATTCAAGCAGACATGCCACCTTAAACATGAAAACACAGGAAATCCTAGACTAGAACAGGCCAATAATCTCTCTAACATTCAGTTTCAAAGGCCAAACCTAACGCTTCAGAAATAGCACAAGATAATTCAGTATGACTTTTTGAAATTATCTGCCTTCAATACAGTTCTTAGAGTAAGGCTGGAAAAACTTGGAAGTACAGAATTGAATTTTCTCTTCACATTTTTACTGCTGCTAAATAAAACATTATTGTTACCCATATAAATTGCCAACTGACTTTGGAATCATACCAATTTCTTTACCAGCCTCTTTTAGCAGTAGATTCCATATTTTAATCGTATTCTATGTATCATGGCATTTTCTTTTATGAGTTTTTAACTTTCAACTGCATCATCACATCAAATGATGTTTTTTGCCATAAGATAAGCAAAGCAGCTTTTACTGAACATCCTTTGTATCAATGGTTACTTTATAAATGCCCTTATGTAAATTTTTAATGTTTATGTGAGAGATTTTCATTCATGCTGCTTCTCCCTGTACCACTTCTTGGTCTGTAAGGTATTTTCTGAGATGGTTTAACTGATAATGTATAAAGTACTTCAGATAATAATGCAAAAATAATTTAAAGGTTTGATACCTTTTTCATTTCCTATGAATTTGAATTTCCTGCTACTTAGTTTTTTAAAATATATTAAAATCTGAAAGTTCCACTGAGCTGTATCTATGGTGATGATAACCTGCCTGCCTTGATTAATTTAATTTTGATCCTTTAAAGCTTAACTGTAGTTATCATTCCTTCCCAATGTACAATCCTTTGCATTTAGCAAAGCTGGATTTTATGTGATGTCATGTTCCACATTTAGCCTGTCCAGTGGTCCCTAGACCATCATTTTTCAACACAGTGGCAACAAGACATAAGACCAGTAAACTGAAAACCTTGCTTTGAAAACTGTGGTATTTCCTGCATGTTACCTGCTCTCTTTTACAAGGAAAAGTAAATATGGGATTGCCCATCTCACAAACTTAAATTTTTCTCAAGTTCTACTCTTTATTAAACCCATACCTGTATCATAAAAAAAATTTGCTTCCCTTTACTCACTTCTCTGTTGAGATTATTCATAACTATAATAAACAATACAGAGACTAGAACAAAAACTTTTAAGGTACCCTGGTTTTAGCCTTCAGCTGTAACAATAATTTTAAATTTAAGCCTCTCTTTACTTTCTCTTAGCTTTTATCCAAGTCAATAGCTTGTATTGTAGCACACGGCTGTCCAGCTTCTTTAATAAATCTCTTCTATGCAATGCTGCCAAAGTCTAAATGATATGGTTTATTATTTTGTAGCTTAAAGAAAATATTCAAATAACTCCAAGACACCAATAAGACAAGATTTCCCTTTTCAGAGTATAAACTGAGGACACTGCATTGTCATATTGCCAGGAAGGCTTCATTGATATGAACATCAAAAAGAAGTGTAACAACTTCACTGTACAATGCTTCAATGTACATTCATATGACATCTCAAATATTGTTATAAATTGCATGCTTGAATTAGAATTGTCCAGGCTCCACAAAGATTTCAAACTATAGAACAGACATGTGTCTATGTGCTTGTGGCACTAAAGGTGTGCAGGAGTTGTCATGATTCATTTTAAGACATTGGAACGCTTAACATGGACATTTACAAAACAATCAATTGTTTGTACACATACTGTACCACCTGTATTCACAGTATTTTAACACAACAGAATACCTGTTTCTTGCACTGCATTTTCCCTACATTTTATTTCTGGCTTGAGAATTTCATTTATATTCAGCACTTGTGTAACTTGTGGGACATCAGAATTGAGCTGGCAGGTTGGAGGAATATCATCTGAGGCCTCATATGGCCCAGGTGAAACAACGCACGTACCTAGAATCAAAAAACATGGGCTTTACTTCATGACACTATGGAATTCAATTTCACTTATATTATTTGGTAGATTACATATACTTTAGTACACATGGCTAGAAGAACTGAATAGATTATGGTAATTTGAAAATTTGCCGTAATTGATCACTTTTTATTGCAAATTTTACAATTACATTGTGTATACTTCTAGGCAAAAATTTTGAATACAGTTAAAGGAATACATGCTAATGTCTGGAATAGCCATAGAAAATCAACTTCTTTGATTTGTCAAGAAAGCAAACAAAACAATCACAAAATAAATTTTGTTAATTTATATTACAACTCAGCTTTAATTTTAACAGTGATACAGTGATTTTCAGATAAAATGAACAGCTAAATATGGTATTCATATCTGTGGGAACAAAGAAGCAAAGAAGTCCCATATATGCAAAGCTTTCATTCCAAACTCTGGACACCATTATGCTTTCATGACAAACTAAAAACTGTCAACCTATGCATTCTTGTGACACCAGGCACTAGTAGGATGTGAGCTGATTACCTCTGTTTTCCCTTTGATAACCAATATAGACTGAGTTTATGAAAGCTGTTCACTACAAAGAAAGGAATTCATGCCAGAACCATACCTGATATTACAATGTAAATTCATTCCAAATTTTAGAGGACTTGAATATAGTAAGCTAATGAATTACCCTATTTTCCAAGGAAAAGAAGAGGAAAACACAACCTGAAACCCAAACATGAATAAGGGATCAAGTACTGAGATTTGAATGAAAAAATTCAAATGCCTCATGTATTTCAGTACAGGACATATTTTTTCAACCATTTTTTTTGCCAAGCCAGCACATTATTTATCACTGTTGGGCAATACTTAGTGATAAAAACCCATACATAAGTTCTGCATCACTATGGAAACAAGAAACTAGGTATAGTCTAAGCTTGTATGCTTCAGTGTCATGATGCAGAAAAGATGAATTATTTCCTCTTCTATCTCAATGATCTCATACAGAAATAATTTCTTTGTATATGAGGTTTCTCCTTTGCATTTACTGTCATTTTAAAAATTCAAAATACTGTATACTTGCTACTTGAAAAGAGTAACACACTCATTGCACCTTGAAATCAGTACTCTGACCACACCAAGGAGTTTGAAGCAAAGAACTGGGCCCTTGTCCTGGTTTCTGCTGGGAAGTATTTAATTTTCTTCCCAGTAGCTGGTAGAGGGCTGTGTTTTGGATGTGGCACGTGACCATCGCTGAGAACATATTGATGTGTCATTTGCTGTTCAGCTTCCTGAGCTGTCCCGTCAGTGAGCAGATGGTGGGGGGCACAAGAAGCTGGGAGGGGACACAGCCAGGACAGCTGACCCCAGCTGACCCCAGGGATATTCCAGACCACATGGCAGTGTGCTCAGCATATCAACTATGCCGAGTGGGGGGTGCTGCTGGTGGTAAACAAATCATGCAAATAAAAAACAATTGTCCTTCTTGGGTTTTATTTATCTTTCTTTGATTTTTTCCTTGTCATTAAGTTTAGTATTATTAAGGTGTTCTTATCTCAACCCATACATTTTCCTACTTTCACCCTTCTGATTCTTTCCCCCATCCCACTGCGGGGAGTGGCTGTGTGGTGCTTAGCTGCTGGCCGAGGTTAAATCATGACAACTCTCAATACAAGCTGAAATGTCACTGCATTCATTGGAGCTCAACTAAGTGGTTTAGTCATTCTGAGAGGGAGAAAACTTTATCAGAGAGTAATTGTTATCTTAATTAGTAATAACATAAAAACCCTTACTATTGTTTTTCTTTAATTGGATAGGAAGTATAGAATCATTTTAATTCAGCCAGACCTTCAGCTGTAATGAAAATTTAAGATGGGTCTAGAGAACAAGTTTAGAGGAGTAGTTGAGGGAACATGGGTTGTCCAGCCTGGAGAAAAGAAGGCTGAATGAAGGGAGACTGTGTACAGAGGTTGGTGTCTTCTCCCAGGTAACAAGCAGCAAGACAAGAGGAAATAGCCCCATGTTGTGCCAGAGAACATTTAGATTGGATACTAGGAACACTTTATTCATCAAAAGGGTTGTCAAGCCCTGGAACAGGCTGCCCAGGGTGGTGGTGGAGTCACCATTCCTGGTGGTATTTAAAAGCCATGTGGGTGGGGTTCTTAGGGACATGGGTTAGTGGTGGCCTTGGCAGTGCTGGCTTAACAGCTGGACTCAAAAGACCTTAAAGATCTTTTCCAGCTAAACATTCTGATTCTATGAATTGCCTAGATAAGGAAATTCAAAAGCATAGAGAAAGTACTAATGCCCACCAGCTGTGTAATAATCATAGAATTGATAATGAAGTAATTAAAAGTGTAATATTTTACTGTGCATACAGTGTATTAAAGCTGTTGACTCATTATATTAACTGCATTTTAGAATTTTGGAACTCATTTAGAATATTTAAGCACATTTCAGAAGCTGTTTAGAATGGAAGGAAAATAACAATACACCAATGGAATTAAATTAGATGAATGCCAGTGAGAGCTTGAATTGCAGTTTCCTGCTGAGAATTTACCATATTCTCTCTGCAGACATTTTTTAATTAATATTTTTTCCAATTTTACCAACAAAAAATCAGAGGAATAATCACAAGGTTTGCCTACTCTCCCCTATTGGTTTAGTGTTTCCAAAAGGAAGATACATTTTGCTACACTTACAATACTGTTAACTACCTCTCCTTCTGAAACCAGAAACGTTATTTCAGGTATGTTCCTTAAAAGACACAAAATGAAAATTTGAATGAAATAGAAGCTGAGCTATTCCTAGGGGTGCCTTTAAAATAAGAATGTGCCAGCTGTGCTTTTGAAATTTCTCGTCTATTATTGCAAATACCAGTGAGGAATGAAGTTCTCTCCTTGGAAAATGATGATTCAGGATTATGACACGAGTCTGGAGACTGGTAAATTTTGACCAAATATCCTGATCTACTACAAAAAACCTATAATTTTTCAGCTCACCACCAATATTACTTTCCCAATAAACAAGGCCACATTAGGATAACTGGACCTGATCTGAGGTGTTTATTATAGTTTCATAGCTCTGTTTCATATAATATTTTGTTACAATTTTGTCTGCATTATTTCAAAAAGAAATCTTTCATCAGCTACTAACATCAAAATTAAGAAAACAAACAGCAAATGCTGCTGTTTTCAGTACTTCTCTTTCTGCTCAGATACTCTCTTCTTGGCCAATACCTGATTTCTATCAGCATAAAATACCCTCATTAAAACAAGCTCTCTACTTGGTCAATCCTGCCAGAATTTCTTCAATAAAATATTTGTAAGGAATTCAGTGTTTCAAACACAGGATATTTAACACACATATTTAATTAGTTGCCTTCAGTCCAACACTAGCAGACTTAATATGCTGTACTATCACTTTAATTTTTATGAAATCATGTAATTCTTCAAATTGCCAATCTGATGAATAAGAAGCTTTTGATTTTGTAACACGAACAGTTACGATTAAGACTAGATAGTAATTAAAACACACCACCTTCTCCAGTTGTATCACGCGGCTTGAATTTTAAAGTGAAGATCTTTCTTAGCTTACAGTTAGCTGAAATAATAATTCCATCCAAAGACCGGAATAGAGCTCCTCTGAATATTTCATAGGTAAATGTTACCAAGTCAATACACATATTACACCACTAGAAAAGAGAAAGAATACTCTTTAGTAAAACCCACCTGTGAGCTGAAGCTAACACACCTTCTATACAAATAAACATGATGGCCTTGAGGATAAATGCAGCAATTTTTATTCAACTTGCAGAATTCTACTATATTTTATATGATGACTAATGTAAAATTTAGATTAATGATTGAAATTTTAAAGGAAAAAAAAAGTAAAAACGTAATGATTGTACATGCCCAATCTCCTTATAAAGTCAAGGTAGAAATATTCACTTCTAATTGCCAAATGAAAACATTTTTGAGAAAAAATTTAGGTGCATACATTACTGTTCATGTCTTAAATCTGAAATTTTGGAAGGAAAGTAATACTTATTTTGAAAACACCAAGCAATGGACTGAAAAATTCAGTATTTAATTGTAACTAATACTTCTAGTGATGAGGTTGAAAGATGGAATAATTTGTAGTAATACAATATAGGAAGCTAGCATGTGAAAATGCGAACTATGTTCTGCTGATGGAACAATCAACTTATTATATAGCCTGACTTACAACCCCTCATGCTGATAATAGCAATCGGCTTGTGTATATAGTAAGCTGAGCTATCAGAGCCATGTAAAAGATCTATCTAATCACTGAAAGCAGCATGCTCCCTCCTTTAAGCAAAAGCAATGATAAAAAGGCAGATAACCATTTAAGGGAGACAGGTATATATCAGATACACTAAGAAATATAGATCTATTCTTTAAGGTTGGTCAAGCATTAAGGTTATTAAAATATTTTGTCATTATAAATGATCAGAGCATCTAGACATATCTGATTCATGCTTTATTATCTAAATTAAAATACATAACTGAAGTTCATCTTCTGCTTGAATTTACCTTGGTGTACATTAATGCACACGTTAATCCTGAAATACCTGTACTAGTCTGACACTAATTGAAATTACACTGAAGAAAAATAATTCCATTGGATTTTGAATTAACAGCAACTTCAGGGGTATGATCTAACACATATTCATTAAAAAAAATCCAACTACTTCTTCCCAAAAAGCAGAATACTCTTCCATTTTAAGTTACCACAGTTGCTTTCACTTAACCTATCTCAAAAAAGTTATAAATTCAGAGTTTTATTGTAAAATATTCTCTCTCATGTCTGGCCTTAAATTCACAACATATTGCTTAGTATACTGTTATCTAGTTCTCTTCATGCAAATATATATTTAAAAATATTTGAAATCTAACTATTCTCATATCAAGTTTATTTTCTAAGCAGTATTTGAGACTCAGTCCTTACATTGTTATACAGTAACCATCAGACTTTGTATCCTGTCAGCTATTACCATATGTTGTGGCTGGGTATGGGAGAGGGGAACCAGGAGATAATGGTTATTTTGTTTTCATCAGTTTGACACATAGATTGTTCTCTATATGCCAGAATTTGGAAGAACCTGAAGAATGTGAAAGCAGCCATCAGCTACAGCCTACCTGCAGCTCCAGTGAATGTCATCAAAGGTCACTACAAGAGAAGGGACATGTGAGCAGTAGCACTATCATGAAAAAGCATCAGGGACATAGAGAATTTTATAGAGGCTGGATCAACAGGAGAGGTGAAGAAACACCAAAAACAGCAGTAATTTTGTAAAATGAGAATGAATTCCTAATATAAAAAGGATAGAAGAGGCGCAGTACTAGGTGGTTCTGCTGCCATCTGGTAAAGGGGACATACAAAAATATCTTCAATCAGTAGGAACTGAGTTCTAAACCAAGCAATAAGTTCAAAAAGTTCACAATATACACAAAAAATTTCTGATTAGAAAACATGCTCAACCTCAGTCCAGGGAATATTCCCGAGGTACCTACTATTTTGCGCTTGATCATAAACAGAGGAATCTTTGCATGCAGAGGGGTTACAGACAACACCTTGTGGACTGTTGACAAATACAATCTTCTTTTAATATTGTCAAAATCAGTTATCCTATAAAAGAAAAGTCAGGGGAGAACGGAACAGATCTTTGTCAATTCAATAATCCAGTATCTTTGGGAGATCACAAAAAACTTGTTCATGTGCAGAACCTTTATGTCAGTGACAGCAAATATGGAATTTAAAAATTCTTTTACAAGATGAGTAATGAGATTTCTTTCCAATTCAAACTTTGTGGCTATATCCCTGCATATATAAAATCACTTTACATGCTAATTTCATTTCAACAGTCTATACTCTTTGCTAGATTTCCACAGCGTATTCAGAGTATGAAAGAATTCAATTTGTATGAACTGAGGACCCAGTAGCCTTTAATAATAACATGTGTTTTGCCCCCTTAAGCTTGTGTTATCTTGGGGCCTGCTAACTAGAAAAAAAGTATTTGCTTTCTTTTCTTATAAATGCCTCTGTCACTGCATATAGATTCTTTTCAGCTTAAAGGTAAACACAATACATTGTCTGTCTGTTTTACTTCATGAGGACATATCTTCAAAGGTGAATTATAATGCAGAAGTTTATTTCTCACTATTCAGGTCGTCTCACAATGATACCAAAGACACTGAATTTCAACATTTCTAATAAATTCAGACCACAGCCATGGACACATACACACACACACACACAAAAAAAAAAAAAAGGTTTCCTTTAAACTGATAAAGAGGGTCATTTTTATGATCTGTTCCCTTCAAGTCTTGTTAGCAGCTGCACTGGTTTTGGCTGGGACCTAGTTAAATTTCTTCAGAGTAGCTTGGAGAGTGCTATGCTTTGGGTTTGTTCTGAGAGCAGTGTTGGTATCTCAGGGACGTTTTCATTGCTGCTGGGCACTGCTTATACAGAGCCAAGGCCTTTTCTGCTCCTCACCTCATCTCACCAGCCAGAAGGCTGGGGACGTACAGGGAGCTGGGAGGGGACACAGGACAGCTGATGCCTACTGACCCCAGGGATGTTTCAGACAACACAGTGCCATGCTCAGCAGTAAGAACTGTGGAGAAGAAGGAATGGGGAAAGCTCAGAGCTACATCGTTTTCCCACAAAGCCATTGCACAGGATGAAGCCCTGAGCTCCTGGAGATGGCTGAACATCTGCAAGCCCATGGGAAGGAGCTAATGCCTTCTTTAGATTTTGGCTGCATGTGCAGCTTTTGCTCTTCCTATAAAACTGTCTTTGTCTCAATGCACAAATTTTTGCACTTTTACCCCTGTGTATTCTCTTCCCCAGGAGAAAGAGGAACTGCTGTGGCTCAGCTGCTTCCTGGGGTTAAACCACAACAGCAGCACAACCTTGACATTCTCCAACAGTCCTTCCTTACCACTCCAGAGTATAGACATTACTTTAAAGGCTGCAATCTGGAGAATATGCTTAATGTATGGGGAAACAAAGATTAATTTACCTATTATTTTTGAACAAGCCTATATCTAACAGATGGATATTTCTTTGTAATTAACAGCCCTCTGAGAAGATGACAAATAGTTATAATAAACAACTTTTTGTCACTACTTACTGTTGCTAAAAGTAATTACTCATAATCATTCAAATGCTGGGTTCTACTTTAAAATAGTGAGACTGCCATGTAGGCTTGTGTGGTTTTTTGTTTTTTTTAAATTTATTACTGAAAACACTTTTTCATTAGCTAGGGACTACCTCTCCTATACCTGTAGCTTAAATAATGGCATCACCCAAAATTTGCAGAATAACACCCTAAAACCCTAATTCATAGGTTTCCTTAGGTCAGCTTAGGAGGACATTAACTCAGGGGAAAATGACATTAGTTATTTTTTCCTGTTTGAGAGTTTAAGCAAAGACATTACAAAATATACTGCAAGTATGTAAATATCAAAAGGTTGTACAAGTACAGGCAATATGAATACATAAGCACCTTCTTGCTCCCCCATAGTCATTAAGACCATCATCCAAAGCAAACTGTTCACCAGCTTTCCAGAACTTGCTGATTCTTTCCTCTCCCTTGCAGATAACCTGATGTTTTACCTATTGATCTTCATAACATGAGTGGGCAAATAAAAACAAAGTGGAAGACTCTACTATCTGTTTCATTTTGAAAGACTAGCAGTTCATCTTATAAATCACATGCACTTGAAAAGCAGAAATCACACTACCATGCCAAGAAAAAAACATTATATACTCACTATTGCTATTGTTTGACATGAGAGATTCCAGAATTCTCTGTACATATTTTTATGAACTGACTAATTATACCACGTCCTTGAAAAGTGACTTCATCAGAAAACCTCCAAGTGTCTTACAGTGCTGGTACCTGGCACGATCTTACTTTTGAAGAAGTTTAAGCAAGATGTGAAATAATTCCCTTAAGATCACCAGCAAATGAGCCACATAGGTAACTAAGCCTTTGTCCCATATTAAGGCATAGTTCCACCCACCACTTTACTTCCCATATAGCCTTTGGTGAAAAACCTATGAATCTAGTTTCCAGGTACTCTTCACTCTAAATCTTGGGTGTTCGGAAGTACTAAAAAATTGGTGCACCGAAGAAGTCCAAAGTATTGGAGCAATGGTTGCTTGAAGCTCCCTGGATTTCCTGGCTGTGTGTAGAGCTGAGCAACTGTGCTGAGAAACCAGGCAGTTGCAATAACCTGAGTACTGAGACCCAGAAATACTATCCCTGATGAACCTCAAACTGCATAATTCTCAGTAGAGAATACTGCTTTAAATGAGGCTATAAAAAAGCAGTAGGATCCCAGAATTAAGTCATGCATATCTCCAAACAACTGGCAATAAAACCTAAGTTCACTCTATACTATCAGTTCAATATGTTTAAATTTTATTATTTATTTCTTATATGAATAGGTTTATCTGTCTCCTTCATGAAAAAAACAAGTACCTTGGTAATAGAAAGGCTATTGGTAAATGTACAGCTCAGTTACATTCCAAAATGTAACACTGAACACATCAAAAGACATACATTTATATCAGACTCTGTAATGTAAGTCTAAAATAAGACTTTTTATGATGATAGATGTGTCATAAGGAAGGGGCAAACCTGAGATGCATAGATATAATCACTTCTAAAGAAGTGTAATTTTTTTCTGTAAATACAGTTAAAACAATAAAAATACTTATATTCCACAGGCAAAAGTAGGTGAAAAATTCAAAAAGGCAAATTAAAAAAAAAAGATGGCCTTAAAATTACATAAAATAATTTATTTCCCAGAAGAAGGAAGATAATTATTTAAGAGGTAGTGTAACTTTCAGACTCTTGAATTACATTGCTTATTGGAAAATGAAAATAAAAATTGGTCTGGAGAAACTCTTTTCTGAAATAAATCAAACAATGGGAGCTAGAAAATCAGATCCCTCAGTTGCAAAGTGACTCCAGAGTACTTGTGGTGAAACTCAAATTTTTTCCTGCTATCCAAAAGCAGAACTTATGTTCAACCTACAATAGCAAGAAACATCAGCAGCACACATCTTGATTTTCAAAGATGAATTAAAAAAATCTATATGGAAGTTAATGTATTTTTATTATGTCTGTGCTTGAGTATTTATATCTAAGGGTCAAACATGATAGAAAAGTAATGAGACCATGTTCAGAAAAATGAGGTAGTCAACAAGAAAATCAACCTCATTTATAATAATATTCCTATGATCAGCAGGTGCATAACTCTTCCAGCAATGGTCATTAACTGCATTCATTGCACACTTAACATCTACATTTGCAAACCATTTGAAAGTAAAATTACCTTCCAATTCAATTTTCAATTTTATTTTACATCTTCAAATTTGACTGACTATTTTCCTCACAATGGTAACTATAGTGAGATTGCAAGTGAATGGTAGCAACTACCCAAGAGCACAGATAGATTCATCTGCTCAGATTGCCTATTCACTTTGCTTCTGTATGGATAATAATTTATAACCATTTCTTAATGTTCAATTCAAGGCTAAAAATGAACTTAGAAAAAACAATACTGAACAGTTGAAAGGATGTTTCATTTGTCAGGATCACTTGGTCTTCAAATGAAAGTGTTTTTATAAATGCTGTAACCTGGAAGTTTGCCAGACACAAAAGCAGGTATTTCATCGATGTTGCTATGCTAAGAGCGACTCCCATGCAACTTAACAGTAACAGAAGTGTCTTTGTTTCCTGGTCAAAATCCAGTGAGAATTCTCTGCTAATGCTTCACTATTAGTACATTAGTATATTAGTACTTAACAACCCTAGTGCCACTTTCTCCATAAAAGGCACTGCTTCGTAAACATTGGATAGTAGCATCATTATCATCATCATCATCCTCATCATCACCTCCATTTTAAAGACAGAAAACAAAGGAATAGCAATTGTCAGCTGATTTGCTATGCTTTCAGATTCTCAAGATTTCCTTATTCAGGAGCACCCTGTACTTCACTTCTATGTGCTACTTGTAAATTTGTCTTGTAGGAGATTACTGAAGTGGCTGCCTGACGATCTGCAATCCAGACAGAGCAGTGTATCCTGTCCTCATAAGAACAGATGTAGTAATGTTGAAAATCAATCAAATCTCTGCAAAATAAGAGATCTGGAAGACAGATATGTCACCCAAACCCAGAGAACAAGTTGTGTTGTGTACTGGAATTTCCTGCTGATAGTTTTTTTTTTCTGGAGAGCATTAAAGAAAAAAAATCCCACAAAATGCCCTTAAGCAGTATCTACAAAGAGGGAGTAACACAAATGGCAGGCATCAAACAAGAATCATCAAATCTGGTGGTTAGAATGGAAATCTTTCAAAAGATGGGCAGATATGAAGAAATGGTGACGCCTGACCTCTCCCTACAGGATACTGACATATTTGCCATTGATTCTCCAAATAGAGAAATGACCTCGTATTTTTGCTGACCAAGAATAACTTAGTGTGAAAGCTTAATTACTCTTACAACTCCATATGTTTCACAAATTGTCTGGAAGTGCTCACTAATATTCATAACATATATTTTAGAAACTTCTATCAATATTTTAATATCCTTGATTTTGAAATAAGCTCATCTTTCTCTGATTTTCAAGTATTTAGTAAATGCCATTTTATGGCACAATGCTATGTTCCTCTGAAGCATGGCTAACTTTGCCAAATCATTTAGAAAACTGTAATTTTAGAAAACAGCTTTTAATTTTTCAGTACAAAGTACTCTAATAAGTATTAATACATAGAAAGTTTAGTGCTGACTTCTTTTTCAGAATCCAAACAAAGTACCTCTATAATGCAGTTATTTATGCCCGCTGCAAGTTATATTGGCTTTTTAGTTCATTGGCTGTTATTTTTTCTGCTTTGTTATTCTTTCCATGAATTTTCTGTTCTAAAGAGATGACCCATCCTTTCATCCTTTTGAGACAAAGGAAAAGATGTTTGCATCTGCTAATGTAATAGTTCTCTTAAATATAGCCATATTTCTCACATTTAAACCATTTATTCTAATTACTAGGAATTACTATGAAGTCTTGCCTTTAAAAAGACAAAATTAACTGTCTTGCTAACAGAGTTTACTTTATTTGGCGTATGAAAATCCTGACTAATAAACCCTATCAACCAAATGCAAACAGGATGCTGTTTACCTCATGTTACTTACACTGATCAACCAACCAAAATATAAATAATTAGTACTTTGCTTCCATCTAAAGTTCTAGAAAATGCCATGACTGGGAGAATTATTAATTTTTTTTTACTTTCAAATATATGAGTTAAAAACTGCTTTGTAAATTATGAAATTGAAATTTTACGTACCCTAATATTTCGAAGAATGTTTCTCCTGCTTCACAGGATGTGAAGGAACATGTCTTATGCTGCTAAATACCAGAATTTCAAATAATCTCTCAGGTAAATCTATTCAATAAAGTTTACCTTCAGTCTCTATCTAAAATCTTACAGCAATTTCAGATGTACATGACAGCATTAGCATCTATGTCCTGTTTTGAATTTTAAGAGGTTGGCCTAAGTTTTGCAAGACTAACCAAGATTCATATTGTTCTGTATCTGAAAACATGCTGGGTGTTTAGGTTAACATGAATAATTTATGATACCTCTGTCAGCAAAGCTAAAATGATGACTGATTATTAGATAGCATCTGATTCACATAAATTCAACTGTTATGGTATCTGTGAACAAATTAGCTATGCCTGTAAGACCTACTATGTTGTGGTTATTAAAAATCTCAAAGTAATAAGCTTGTATTTATAGAAACAACTGCTTGAAAACAGGAAATATAGTACCAAAATATATACATTCTACTGTACTCTTCACAGGCCTTGTAATAATATTTCTTATCAGCAAGCACAACTACTTCAGGAATAAAGAAATTTTAACCTCCTTTTCCCTACAGATTCCTTCATACGTAACTTGCTTCAACAGAAAACTTATCAGGTATGTTCCAGAGTTTGAAAATCTCACAGAGTTTGCATTAATACAGAATATAACAAGAGCTGATGCCTTCTAGAGCTGGTGAAGGGTAGTGGCAAGCAAAGATAATTTGACTATGAACAGTGGGATAGGAACTGAACAAACTGGTTGATAAGTGCTTTCCCAGCTAAGCAAAGATTGAAAGGTTGAGGCAGGAAGAATTAAGAAATTAAGAGAGATAGGTATCATTAGAGTGAACAAGCAATCATCTTGTGATCCTCAGCGCATTCTGGCTGGAAAGATGATCCATAAGGTGCTGTGTGATTCTAGGAAGTGACAACACAGCAGAGCCCCACGGCACACTAATACTGAGCATGAAGTCTGGACTTGGGGCAGCAGCAGTTCTCACTGACAATGGACAGGTTTGCTCTGCAGCTTTTCATGTCAGAGCTATAAGCTGTGCCACATGTGATTTACAGACGTTTACCATGCAAAGATTTAAACAAGCTTGAAGCAGTATGAATTAGCCATCACTGAGAGAGGCAGCGTGACTTCGGAGCTGCAGCAATGGATAAGTACCATCCCTGAACTGAGAAAAAAAATCATACAAGGAACTCATACAGGAAATCATACAAGACCACAAAATATTTCAGTACATAACCAGGAACTGAGTATCTCATCCTTGCTCTTACACCAGACCAGCCTACTATTTTTGTTTTTTGTGGGTGGTGTTTTTTTGTTGGGTTTTTTTTTTTTTTTGATGCTATGGTACAATTTCAAGGTCTATTTCCTCACATCAATTGCTCTACTCATTTGCTGTAAAACTTTTCATTACAAGATGTGCTAATTTCATGTGGTACCCAACACTGAGAAAAACCGTATCTGAAACAAAGTATGACCATGACTGGCATTACAGTAAGAATAAATGTTTGAGTGCTTGTCAAAATGCCAAACAGAAGTATTAACACCCACATGTCCATGTATTGGGAACTAAAGCAAAAATGACAATGCAGGCCAGATGCTGTTTTCTCTCACATGTGAATATTTTTTCAAACATTGAGTTACCGTTGCTTTTCCAGCAAAGCAGCAAAATCCATAACTCTGAAGATTTAACAACTGGCTACTGCATTTGCAGCAGACAGCTATATTCAGCATTACTAATAGCTTTGCTATTATTTGCTTCAAAGAAGCTGCATAAATTACATGCTCTCTACCTTAGTTGTGATTTTATTATGCTTCATCAAATTTTTCATCCGCAATCTATTTTACACATTTTTATGCAGATCAATACATTGACTGTTAATGTGGTGGTATTTATCTAATCATGCCACATAAAAAAGTATCTAAAATTCTATACAGATTTCCTCTGAAGAAAAGATAAACCAGCTAATATAGAGAGTATTTTGCACATTTCAGTATTTATGGCAGGAATCTTGCATGACTGGTTGACAGCAGCGGGTTAGGAAGTTTAGCTCAGCTGATGCCAGCAGTGATGGATGGTCTTGAAGAAATTCTTGTTTGCTGACCAAATCAATCACTGAACAGAATGCAAAAGAAGTTGAGGCTCCAACTAAATTCCTGTTTCTATCTCTCTGCAGAATGGGAGAGCGAGAAATGTAACAGAAAGCTTCATGCACAGCTATTACAAAACTTGTCAGTGATTTTTACATAAAGTAAATTTCATAGCTTGGCATGCTATCAATTTTCACTTGAAGCTGCTCAAAGATTCAGCACTAAGTAGTCAGTTTGTGTAAGAAACCATCTTTGAACATTAAATTTCAGGAAGAAACATCACCATCAACATTCTGTCTGCAAACAAACGAGATTTCTTTCAAAACATCTGAAAAGATGGGAACTGAAGAGCAGTCACATGAAGCAAGAAGGACTTGTCTTTATTATTAACTGGATTATCTTAAGTCTGCTAGGATAAAATAATGCATTGTCTATTCTGCAAGCCTTGAAGGACTTTATGGGTACAAGTAAGTATAGTTGATTTCAAACACAAAACTCAGTATTAAAACTATTTTAAAAGTAGTTTTATTAACTTTTTCATGCAGTTGCACTAAGTTGGGAACAACTGATATTGTACTTTTAAGATATAAACACATTCATTCAAAGTAATTGGAGCTACAGAGAAAATCTGTAGTTAATATAGTTTGTATTATATGCATTATATAACAATATAAGATATGTTACATAAAATACATATATTGCAAATACAAAATACATGTATTTAAATCTATACAACTACCTAGGAATATTATAAAGACATGTATCTGCTTTTACAAGAGGGACATAGTAAAGATGGGAACAGGAAGTAAAAAGAAAAGATGAAGAAGATGTAAAGTCAAAATATAAGCTGTAAAGAGAAAAGGCAAATAAGTGTGGGAGAGGTGACAGAAAATGTTTTTATCAAAAAAAAAAAAACAAACAATGAGAAAAATAAAATTAGTAGAAGTAGAAAAGAGGTTCTTGTTAAGAAAGTGGCAAATACCCAAAATAATCAAACTGACCATGACACTACAGAAAAATCTGAATTCCTGCACCTGTCATTAAATCATTATATCTTGCTCCTGCCTACAGAATGTCCATAAGAAGCAAATCTTGGTTTTGCTATGGTACTTGCTGTTTGGTCTCTGTGTGCTGCATGACATATCCTGGTTTTTTTTTTGTCCCTTTGCCCCTTTTAATGCAAACCTACAGAAAGTCAAAAATAAAATCCTTCTTTCAATTTACATGATTTCATTGCTAATTTAACTGGTATCATTCAACCCATCTTTTCTTGCAGGGCTTCTAACGGCCTAATATTTCTTTTGTCAATCCACTTTCAGATATTTTATGGGCTACAAAGTTGTGCTGTTTATATATAAACAGATGGTGTCACTAGGGGAGAAATGTTGTCCAAAGCCTGTCAACTACCCAAGTTTAAAACTCTATTAAACCATTTCATAACTAATTAATAAAAAAATCTGTTTCTGCTGTATCTTTCTTTCTTCACAGTGTGGAAATAATTATACCAATTGAGCACCCATTTGTTTTTCTAGCTTTTTAGCATTTGTTTGGTTGTGTTTTTCTCCCCTAATTATTATATGTATTTCTTTTTGCTCCGGACCAAAGGGTCCTCTCTTATGACTTATGAATAAATCTCTTATGAATTTTCAGGCAGTCCTCATGCGCCAGTATTTTCATATGTTTGATAAATTTGTGTCCCATTTCTTCAGATTTTTCATCATCTTCATTCAGGATTTTTTTGAGTTTGTTCTGTCTTCAAAGGAATGTCAGCATTTAGAACATCTAAGAAATAATGATCTCATTAGCTTAATTACTTTTTATTGCCTTGACAAGTCACCATGCTTTAATGCAAAATATGCCACCACAATTAATGACTGCAATCAAGAATTCACTTTAAGTATTCAAGAAAATTTTATGCATCTTACAGTAACTCAGTGGAGAAGTCTTTTCCCAATGGCACAAAAATCTGAAGTGTCAGAAATTGCTGCACCAGTCCCACTAGAAACAGGGGAAAAAAAAAAAAGCACTGTGTGCATGCAGATGCATGTTTCACTATCCAGCATTTTGAGTTTTTACCATATGCTATGCTCCTACAACACTATTTCCCAAGGTTCACACAACATATGAACATGAGAAAAACCTGAAGAAATCCAATTTAAACTGCAATAAAAGTATTGTTTTTAAAGTCCCATCTGTGGCTTCGGTGGAATTCTCATGAAAGCAAAAGGAACCTTTTTTTAAGCTTACAATTTTTGTGCTCCAAGAGCATGAAGACAACAAATATCCCATAAGAACTATAAAATGAACTAATATTTTCCTATCAAGATTATCTTATAATCATGTTAAACTTGCACTCATGTTGGTGACAAAGTACACCTTGCTAACTAACTTCAAAAAAACTCTGGGGTAAGAATACAAATCAGATCATGACAACACTGCTCAGTGGAGGCTTCTGATTTTTAGAATAATAGCAAAGCAGTTTGATTGAGGGAACAAACAAAAAAATTCAGGTAGCTTCCTATCAAGGGAAAACAGTACAAAGCTGTCTGAATTGAACCATATGTTGTTTTCTTAGATATTCCATCAGGGACAGTACACGCTGCTTTTCACTGACTTCACAAGCCTGAGCAGCAACATTGGCTCCTCTTCTGAAGAATGAAAAATCAAAACTTTCTTTTTTGAGGGCCAAATGACACCTTAAAACTTCAAATTAGATTTCATATATTGAAATTTCTTCTTTTATTTTGGATGAGTATACAAAGTTCCAGTGCAACTGGGAGACCGTACACACACTTGATTAATTAAATACTTGAGGTACGTACACCTCAAGAGGGGAAAAGACCAAGCCAGAAGGAAACAGAATGGTAACAGATGGAAACCTGACTGGAGTATTGCAGCACTAGCTAAAGTAAATTTAAAACCAAACTATTTTTAGCAGTAATTACCCACACAATTAATTATTCATCCTCATTTTAGTGTTTAGCAACAGTTAGCAATTTTTTTCTTTTAACTGTTTACTGTTATTTGCTATAGTAATTTATTGTACCACTGAAAATAAATCAGTCTTGTTTCTCAAAAATACACATTGCATTAATATTTATTTTAATGAAGATAACAGCCAATTTCTTTTATGAAAATCAGACTAAAGTTAATTTTTTTTTTGTGTTTATTGGAAAAAACTTATGTCTTACTGTATACCCTGCATGAGAAGTATACTAGAATATTCCCATTCAATTTGTTTAAAATCACCATCTCAATTTTTTTCAAAAGCAAGCAGTTAATTCTAAACCAGCTGAATTCACTCCTACAAGCCTTATAAGGTACACCACCCCATCATGGAGTTTAACGCATATGATGATTGCTGTATTGCAGACTGCTTGGATTCTGGTTTATTGTGGTGCAAAAGACATGCTGGGAAAACATTCCATACTACTCTTAAACACTGATTACATAAACACAGTGGAAATTTATTGTACCACATGTGCTGATTTGATACAAAAGTAAAAATTCTTTAAAAAGTAAAATGAGAAAGGGGACAGGAACCTAGCTCATATTCTTTAATGTCAGTAGAATTACTGACTTTAGTAAGTGCTGAATGGAGTCAGAGGTTATTTATCAGACATTGGTCTGCAGCAGGATCAGGTATACCAGTGAATTTGGCAGCACCAGAACATGCTGGATCTTCCCTACAGCACTCAGTCTAATCTGGAATTTCTGCAAGTTTTACTTATTTGTAATTGACCTACTAAAAAGTTAATGAAAAAACACTTTTCCTATGCTGAATTATGCCTGAACTAAGGGAGAATAGTGTAAGTTTTGCATTCCAATATAAGATTGATGTAATAATCAGAACATCATCACAGACATTTAATTCTTTGATACTCACAAGTTTGTTTGGTTTCCCTTGGTAGCTTCATTTTGTTGATTAGACTATTTCCTTCAAGTACAAAAACAAAGCCTTTTAGTTCTCTGTCGTATTCCTACAAAAAGGAACAACAAAATAAGCATCCTGATAGAATTCTCCTCCTGACAACCAGCCATGCTACTAACATGCAAAGCTATTTTTTTTTTTTAATCAGGAAATGCAGATGGCACTGCAAGTATGACTGGTTCACATGTGAGGGCAAAAATATAATTCACACAAATATGGATGGCAAATATATAATCCACACAAGTTCTTTATTTGTGTGTTTTATGAACAAATAATGCTGACAAACAGGACTCATGATTCAGTGAGCAAAGCTCAATTCATTGGTTACTAGAGTACCAAAATTACTTTCTAAATATTTAAACTGTAAAATTACTGTGACCAACTCAGTCTGCAAGCAGGCATATAAAAGTAATTTAAGTAGTCATTTAGTCTGCCATAATGACAGAACTGTAAGTGACAACTCCACTGTCAGGTCAAAGCCCTCATTACCTTCTAATTTTAAGCTTCATTCACATTTTTCTGGTATATACTCTAAGTTTTATAGATTTCTTTAAAAACTTACTTTTGATATAGCTGATGGGTTGCCAAAAATCTTCCATTTTGTTCCTGGGTTCTTGCCTTGAGCACTGAGTATTTCAACAAATGGCCCCCCCTATAATAAAATGGTTTAAGGATATATCATCCAGTCAAATGCTCAGCACTAAATTATCAACAGTCAAGATGAGAACCTAAGAATCCCTCTGTATCATGCTGCTACTAGAGTCAGCATTACTGATCAGTCAGACAGCAAAATATCAATAACAACTTCTAGACTACTATAACAATCAATTCATGTAGTCAATACTTGGCTTTATTAGAGGATCAGAAGATAAAATTGAAGGAATACCATGGAGTGTTTGAAATTATTTTATCTATAATGTCATTCTCTGAAATTATTGCAAATATTCTAAAATTATGCAAGAGATGACTAATTTCTATTTGGGTAAGATTGATTTCTATGTTTTATCAAATTAAGTGAGTTTTAAAACACTGCTAAAAAATAAAAGGTGCTGCAGATTGGATGTTTTGTCTGATTTCCAATGGAAATGAAGTTTGCACCATTTGTCAACATATGTGACTGGCTCTGCCTACATATTTTGCAGTAACTTTTCTACTAGTTACCAAATTCCAGCCTGATTTTACCAAACAAAAATTTACTAACTTTCCTGGGCCAACCTAAGGGACCTGGTAGTAGATTTGTTCCAGTCAGTATCACCATGAAAAGGGTATGGGCTACAGCCTTCATGAAGCAACAGAAGATTATTATGGATGTCCCCATCAGGTGAAAACTCCTGACATGGAGCATGTGCCCTATTGGACATCAGGGAATCTAAACGCAGGCTCTTGGGAAGGTTGGCTTTATCACCTCTGACTAGGGAATTACTTGCTTCTAGATTTTTGCCATTTGATGTCACATTTTTTGTGACATCTGATGCACTCAGCCTACAGTTTGCTAAGCATTTTTCAGCAGCATGGTTGACCTAATCAATCATTACAACTCTGCCATTCCCTTCTCATTTCTAGTTGCCTGCACTCCCCAATTCTCTTTATGCTCAGCTGCCCAAGCAATTGCCTGCAAGTCAGAATGAGCAAGAGGGGCAAGCAAAAGAAATGCTCCTCAGATTAGTTTTTCAGAGAACATCAACTCTGCACTGTATATGAATTAGGCAATTTCCTCTGCCCACACACACCTGGCAGCTCCAGCCATATGCCTGATCCCAGTGACTGGACTTAGTAAATTTTAAGGAAATCCAAAATGGCATTCCATAAACTGCACTCAAAATATTTTTTAAACTTACAGTGGATGATATGGTATACTATAAATTTCCAAGTTACCTGATTTATTTAAGGACTGCAGGATCAAGCTCTCAAAAAGTAAAAAAATATTTTTAACTGCCAAGCTGTGTGTGCTTGCAGCAAATGTTAAACAAGTGGCTTTTTCTTCCATCTTTATAAATGCATTTTGTTAATAGCACAGCCCTGGAATTGGCCCTGATTTGAGGTAAAACTGAACAGGACATGGAAAATACCAGACATGACATGAGGAAATGTCAAACAAACAGTGATGCAAGAAGCTGACAAAAGTTACTTGGTGCTGTGTAGGATGGTTGGGTCTCACTGAGGGCCCCAGTGAAGTTCGGCAAGAAACTGCCAAACTCCACAATCAACTCGAGGGGAGTATGTGGCATCTTTGGGGAGCACAATCCTGCAAAGCCAGTGGCAGCTTGGCATCAGAAATTCCATGAAAACGTGAGACAGCCTAGGGAACAGCATCAGTTTTGAGTACAGAAGTTGCACATCTGGGATCAGTGCACATCTGGGACCAGTGGGAAAAATGCAGTTGGGGTGGGTTGTTCTCTCAGGATGGGACCGGTGCGGAGAAAGGGAGGCAAAGTGTGGTGGGAAAGAGAGGCCAGGAAGAAGTAAAAGGGATATTGAAGTTCCAAATAATGTGACTGCTGTTGTCACAAGCTTGTGCTGGACCAAAGGAATAAGCCAACCCCCTTTTCTGACTACACATTAGGAGTGGGGATTCATTCCATGACTGCATGGAAGCAGATGTGCCTTCCCTGGCCCATAAGGATAAAGAACAAAAGCCACTGGCAAACTCACATTGTGCCCATTCTAGACCTGACATCATCAGCAGCTACCCAGTATTTCTAACACTTCTATAAAAAACACTCCTGTAGCTGTACTTTTTGCCTCTCAAGATAATCTATTTTAATTTAGCTCTCTCAGAGATGAAATGAAAATGGGTAAAAATTATAATTATTTTTGTTTTACCTGATAGTTGTTTCTGAACATTTTTCCAGCTTTCAAAGGTAGAAAATAATTTTAGCTTCTCAATCAGTAAAGACACTTGCAAGCTATGCTGGAAAACAAACAAACAACTTTATATAGGATTTGACATGAAAAAAATCCTATAATGATACTTCAGCCCATATTTTAATATATGTGAATATTATTGCAAAGTACTTTTCTGAGTAGAAATGTATATCAACTGCATCAGAGTGCTACTGCAATAGAATTAACACCAAAATAATATTAATATTGATACTGTATTGGAAAACATTCTCTTTGTGTATCAAGTATTCAGGGATGTCTTTTCTTATATTCCAAGTAAAAATCGGAATTTTATGTCAGTCCTTATTTTTAATCAACGAAGACTTTCTCATTCCTTAAAAATGCTTAAAAATAATCTTTAACACATTTTTTTTATTGTTCTTTGTTCTCAAGTGCCCAATGGAAAACATTAGAATCCATTAAAGAGGAGCTTAACATTCAATATGGAAAAGTAGAAACATGGAACAGCTGCAACAAAAATCTCTCAGTCTAGAGGTACTTGGCAGAGACTTCTGAGACAAGTTATCTTCTTTTACATTCAGAATTCTTTGAGGATGATTACTGTAAGACTCAAACCAAGCACTTCAGTTATCTGAGGGCTGCTCAAGTCACTGTCAATTAAGAGATGTCTGCAGTTATAGAATTGGAACAGTGGAAAGGGAAGGGACTGACACTGGAAGCCTCCCACATTCTTCTTTGATCTCACTGAGTGTCTGGGGGCTCACCTGGCATCAACAGAAAGTGAAGACACCCTGAACATAAAAGGAAGCTGTCACTCTCCAGAGACAGGGAAAATCCGCCACAAGAAACAACAAGCACCTTCAGTGAGAACTGAAAGTGCTCCTCAAGTTACAGAAGAATCTTTTCACAAGATTCTGCCTCAGTTTTACTTGATATACTTTGTTCTGTTCATGTTCAGTTTGGGTAAAACAAGTTAAGAATTAAGTATTTTTAATTACTGGATATTTTTCAGACTGCAACCAGATTTTTAACAGAAACAATAAGTTGACCAGATGATTCTAAATACAGCTTCTCATAATGAACAGTTCAGCTGTCACAACCAAAGAATAACAAAGTTTAAAAAAAATTAAGAAAATATCTATGACTACAAATGAACTAGAAATTCAGTGACAATATGCATGAATTCATGAAGAATGAATCCAACTAAAGGATTAGGGCAACATTCTATTTGAAAAAGTAAATAATCATTCATTTATATAAAGGTGATGAAATCTATTGATATTTATCCACATTTATTTTAATCAGCAACAATTAAATCTTAAAATTGTCTGTAAATAAAATAAAAATGGAAAAACAATTAGATATTGTAAATTTATCCCATGCTGTTGCCAGAAATATTAGTTCATTCACAATTTTTTGATTATAAGGAGAATGAAATTTAAAAACACAGCATTTGTAACAGGCCTATCAAAACTTGTAAATAGTATTTTGATCAAATTTAACTAATATTTTCACTGCACTTCTAAGTTGCATTATTCTATGTTTTATACCGTTTTCTACACAGATTTTCTGCCTGTTGGTATTTTTTTTTAATTACTTCATTAATAGTTATATTGAGCTACTTAATTATGAACTAGACATTTTAGAAATACCTTTTAAAGTATGCACTTCTAAAGCAAGTGTATTAGACTTCTCCTTCTCTCTAAATATTCACTTAATATAAAGATCACTTATTTCTGAAATCACTGTTCAGTTTTCTGTCTGCAGCCCTATCTTTGTTATTATCTACAGCCTTTAAACAAGCTTGAACTATTCAAAATTGTGTGATTCATACCTTAGTGAGAAGTAGTGGAACCATGAAACTAATCTCAATGACCTACTATTCTGACTCCCTTTGCCAGAGCAGAATGTGAAGGACCTCAAGTGAATGAGGGACAGGAGCCCAGCCCTCCTGCAGGACACATTTAAGATGAGTGTATCCCTGTAACTCACACTTTGAGGACTGAGGATTTCACCAACTCCCAGTTTTTCTTTATTATTAATTTTATGTGAAGGAGATGTAAAGGAATAATTTTTTTTTTTCCTGGGGTCAAAGCACTTTCACTAACTTTTGCTTTAAAGATCAGTTTCAGACTTTCCAAGCATCATGCACCTAGCACAGCCCTCACATATTTTGCAGCTCTGTTACATCTCAGGAAAAAATATTAGGACTAAAGAAACATAAGGAATTCTGATCTAAAAGTTACTGTATAAAAGGTTTTATGTTCAGAGACTGAAAAAATAACTCACCTCTTTCAAGGACTACTGCCAGTATTCTGGCTTAAAATTCTTTATCAATGCAGCTGTGTTTTAAACTGATATTCATATGGACAAGGTAGCTTATCTGTTAATTTTAAGAACATATTTTATGCAGACTCAGAAAACTGATGACTGTTGTAGGTACCAAATTCATGACCAGGTGGCTCTTCCTAATTTCAGTGGAAGGTAAACTAGACCCAAAGTTTATAAGCATTTGTATTTGGACACATCATTTAGCTACAAAGCTGTAGCTGTCATTGTCAACACCTCTGTGAAATCAGCAAAATGTCAGAACGTTTTTCATTAAGGCAGGAAAAATACTGCAAGTGACACTGCAATACATCTTTGCTTAATTATAACTTACCAAATTTCATTACTACAAGTGAAGACTAGAAATTACCTTTGCTATTAAGATTGGTCGCCACTAAAACCGTTAAGTGAACTATATATTTGTCATGTAATTACTGAGGTAATGTTAAAAAGTACTTTCATTATGTATCAAGTACTACTGTTTTTAATTATAGTAAGCTATTCTTAAAGGAGAGAATGGTCTGGAAAATTGATAGTTGCAATATTTTTCCTCTTTTCGCCTTTCCTCTTCCCAGTCCCTCCAGAAAGTCTAAAAATCAAGAGCGCTTAAAATCCAGAGGGACTATATTAAAAAAGAATCAACAGCAATTTGAAATTCAAGTCCTCATTTTTTTGCATAGTTATCAAATAAACAGGTATTTTATGACATCTTTGTAGAATGCCATAAACTAGTAGCTTTCTCATTTTTTAGTCTCAGATCAAACTTAGTATTTTCTTGCCCTGAACCACGTACTTTAGTATGTCTGTCCAACTGGAAATACAAACCTAAAGTACCAGTCAATGGCAAATAATCAAGAATGTAATTTATAAAGTTAAGCAACAATGAAAGATATTTATCTTTGAATAAATTTCTATCCAAATTTACCTTGTGATGTCTTGATTTGTGCAGTGACTCTGATCATTAGCTTCACCATCCTTCTTATGCAAACAATAAAGTGGCAGTATCCAAAGGGCCCCTTATTCCTTCCATTCACACAAGCCACCTAGGATTCCATAAAACTATCTCCATTCTATGACAGCTTCTTACGTATATTTCAATAATATCTGGTGTTTATGTAGTCCCAGATTCCAACAATTGGTCCTTTGAAATTAACAAGCAAAAAGAGTATTTCAGGAACAGCAAATGTAAATGGACCTTCATGCTTTCTTAATCTAATTAGTACTAAGCACCAATCTAAATCCAGGAGACACAGGGATGGACAGACTCACACAGACCTAAAAGCTTTCATAGTCATGGTTAGTCCCCTGTCTTAAAAGGTACTATTTATATAAGTATATGAATACAAGTTTCTGATCAACATCCCAGCGTTGGAAAAGCTATGTTTATTTAAGATTTTTTATTCCAAAGTCATATCTGTGAAGCAAAATAAAGTGAATTTGCACATACTACTAATTTGCACTGAAAAATGACACGAATAGACTATTTTTGGCAGGGCACACAGGCTTAGACCCAAGACTGTTCATACATATAACTCAGCATCATGGGCCCAAAGCCAGAGCTGATTTATGGTGGCTGGGACACTGCAGGGAAAGCAGTTCATCACTGATGAAGGGTTTTAGTATCTCTCAGACAAATGAATTCCACATATTAAATATTTAAAGCTGAGTTTGTAACACCGCTATATATTTTCTCAAAATACAAGTTAGCATAATAAATGGGCAGAAAGACCATTAATAAGCTATTGCAAGCCTACTGGTGCTCCAACGGGCGAAGCAGAGCAGCTTTTATGCACAACCCGCAGAATTAAGGGGAAAAGTAACTTAAAATCGAAGCTTTTGCTTTATAAAAATTGGACTGCAAAACGCTTTGACACAAGACCCACGACCACCTGCGGCCCCCGCTTCCCTGCGCAGCTACAGCGGCACGGCCGCGGCACCCCCGCCCTCCGCTGGAGCCGGGGCCGGGGTCAGGGTCAGGACCAGGGCCAGGGCCAGGGCCAGGGCCAGGCTCAGGGTCAGGGCCAGGCTCAGGGTCAGGGCCAGGCTCAGGGCCAGGCTCAGGCCTGGGGAGGTCCATCCCCGCCGGGTCTCACCTGTGTGCGGCCGGCGGGGCCGTTGCAGGCGGCGGCGCGGGGCGGCCCCTGAGGCCCGGTACCAGCTCGGGGTCGCCGGCGGCGGCCCCTCAGGGCTGGGCGGCGGTGGTCTGCGGTCCCCGGCTCCGCACCAAGTCATCCACAAATGGCAGAGCCTCTGCTGGCCCCTCATAGGTGCCTCAAGCGTGTGCGAAATGGCGCCGTGTCACCCAGTGCCCGTGCGGGTGGAAGTGCAAATGTCGTTGGTATGTCAACTCGGTCAACTCATGAAATATATTTGCCCTTTCTCCTTTAAGGCTACATTCTCTACATTCTCTAAAATGTGTTGTTGTTGTTTTTTGGTTTTTGGTTTTGGTGTTTTTTTTTTTTTTTTTTTTTGGTGAGAGGGATGAAGGGTGAGCTACAGCAGCCACATCACAGTCCTTGATTTTTAAGGAACTACATTGCCCTTGGACATCTGGCATTTTTCCCTATGAGAAGGAAGCGAGAAGGACGGCCCCATTACTTTAACATAACTGGAAAGTACAAGCAAACACCTCCCGATGGCTTCAAAAACCTCTGGGAACAAGGTTATGGGGC